CTGGCCCCAGCCCCGTGCGATTACCCCCGCTATGCCTGAGACCTGCTGCCCGACAAGGCCCCGCGAGAGTGGGGAATCCAACGGGCACCGATGCTGCTGCTCGCCAGACCTCTGCCGAGGCACCTTCTGACCAGAATATCAAGGCGAATCCAGCCGTGGCGACGAGGGCTCCCCAGGATGCCCAAAGAAATCGAAAACGAGGCAAGGGTAGCGGCAGCGATGCCGTATTCTCCCTGAGGAGCCACCAGTCGCGACCGAAATCCAGCCTCCGGTCGCGACTTCTGGTAACGAGCGAGCCGTCGACGTCTTCGAAACAACCGCTTGGACCCCGACGCCCGTCCTGTCCTTGCCGAAAGTCGACCCCCTCCGGTCGCGAGCGAGATTCGGCGCGACCGAGATTTGGTGCGACCAAAAATTGAAAGAAGCACTGGCCGCCCAACCCCGGCGTGAAGGCCACCTCGCTGCGGCCGCCCGGGCTGCGGAGTCCACGGACGGATCCAGCCATAACTACGCGGGCCTCCCAGAAGGCCCAAAGGAAGGCGAGAGGGAGGCAAAAGGATGTCGGCATCGGCAGATTGGTGTGGTGGCGACCCCAGGCGTTGGTGCCCGACACGGCGTGGATCCTCCAACCTGGAGCGATCGGCGCCTCTTCGATCGCCAGATCACCCCATGTCGGCTGACTCTGGGCCACTGGCGGCGTTCCATCTTGACCGCCCGCGGCGGGGTCGCTGCCGCGTCGGCACGAGACAAACCCACCGTACACCCGCTAAACGTGGGACCTGCTGCCCGCCAGGGCCTGGCGAGAAGCGCCAGCCGCCCATCCCGCCCATCCCTGAGATCGGTAACCTTCCTGCGATCCGACGACACGAACAAATTGAAACATCTTCGAACAACCCAACCGCATCGGCGTGTGGAAGACGCTCTTCCATTCGTCGTCGTCGTCGTCGCCGTCGCCGTCGTCGACGTCTCGTCGTCGTCGTTGTCGTCGTCGACGTCGACGTCATCGTCATCGACGCCTCGTCGTCGTCGCCGTCGTCGTCGTCGTCGTCGCCGCCGTCGTCGTTGTCGTCGTCGTCGTTGTCGTGGTCGTCGTCGTTGTCGTCGCCGCTCCCCCTTTTCCCTGGGCCCTCCTCCTCAAGCGCGCCAACCGACGCGAAATTGAGCAACGCCGTAGTTCAGTCGAAGGGAAGCCCATTTCCTTTGATCCCTTCCCCGCCTGGGGGGAGGTCCAGGGGTGGTCGAAGGGGGGTCCCAGGTCCCAGGGGGGTTGTCGGGGGGGTTCCCGAAGAGTGGTCCTGGGTCAGACTACCATTCCCCCCCAGAGGGTCCCGGGGCCCACAAATCCGTAGACAGGCAAAGAGTGTCCCTAGAGGCCTCCAAGTCGGTCCAAGAGGGCCGCGAATCGCCAAATTGTCAGTCCCATACGCCTCAGATGGCCTCCAAACGGTCCAAGACACTTCTCAGACGCTCCACGAGGCCTCCACGAGCACTTCGAAAAGGGCCCCAAGAGTTTAAAATCGTAGATTTCCTTCTTCTTGAAAAAATGATGTTCTCGCCTTCTCGGCTTCCAAACGCTCCAAGACGGCCCAAGAGGGCTCCACGATCGCCCCACGATCGCCCCAAGATAGCCCCAGAAGTCTCCAAGAGGGCCCCGAATCGACCCAAGAGGGCCCCCAGACAGCCCAAGAGGCCTCCAAGACGGCCCAAAAGGCCCCCAAGACGGCTCCCAGAGCGTACCCACACAGTGGACTCGTGGGGAACTTTGGAACCTTCGGCCCCGGAGCCTCCCAGGAGGCCCCCCAAGAGGCCCCTAGAGGCCCACGAGAAGCCCCCAGAGGCCCCCAAGAGGCCCCCAGGAAGACCCAAGAGGCCCTCAGGAGGCTCAGAAGAGACCCCTTAAAGGCTCCAGAAGACCCAAGAGGCCCACCCCCTCCTCGACCACCTGTACCATCTCCCCGTCCTCATCGCATACAGGGTAGGCGACACCCGCCGCAAGGCCTCCACATTATCACGAACAGAACCCCAGATCCCATCGTTCTGCGCCACTTTTCGAGCCGGATCGATCTGTGAGGGCCCCAAGGCCCGAAGACGACCGAAAACGCCCGTGGTGAAAAAATTGCAACGCGCGGATCTGAAGGCTCCTCCCTTGAGAAAGGCGCCAGAGGAGGAGGAGGAGGAGGAGGAGGAGGAGGAGGAGGAGGAGGAGGAGGAGGAGGAGGAGGAGGAGGGGAGGAGCAGGGGGAGCAGGAGGAGGACGAGGAGAGGAGGAGGAGAAGGAGGAGGAGGAGGAGGAGGCGGAGGGGGAGGAGCAGGAGGAGGACGAGAAGCAGGAGGAGGAGGAGGAGGAGGACGAGGAGGAGGAGGGAGGAGGAGGAGGAGGAGGAGGAGGAGGAGGAGGAGGAGGAGGGAAGCGACGAGGAGCAGGAGGAGGAGAAGGAGAGGAGGAGGAGGAGGAGGAGGAGGAGGCGGAGGGGGAGGAGCAGGAGGAGGACGAGGAGCAGGAGGAGGAGGAGGACTAGGAGGAGGAGGAGGAGGAGGAGGAGGAGGAGGAGGAGGAGGAGAAGAAGCGACGAGGAGCAGGACGAGGAGGAGGAGGAGGAGGAGGAGGAGGAGGCCCATCCCCAGGAGCGAGGGGCCGCCTCGCCGCGATCGCCCAGGCTGCCGGGCCCACGGCTGGCCGCGGGCGCGGGCCCGCGCGCCTCGCGGCAGGGGGGAGTGAGCATCGTTTGGCCGATGTTGCTCATCCCCACTGTTTGAGGCCTGGAAGTTCGGGGGCGGCCAAAGAGGGGGGCGTCCAAGAGGGGGAGGCGCAAACCATGGCCGACGGCATGCGCGCGGCCCAGGGCGGGGGCCAGGGACGTATTGAAATCAGAACAGGCGCCATGAAATCTGGGGAGATATCATGGCCTTCGCCATGATATCCACCCCCCCCTAGTCATCACCCCCGGCTTTCCCGCCCCCGAGAAGTGGGCACCAACACCAACACAGGGGGGTGCCTCCACCCGGAGAAGATGGTCCTGGATCTGGGTGTTGGGAATGTGTTTTCGGTCATCTGAAAGCCCGAAGATTACCACCATCACCGAGGTCGAAATCATCTTCCCTCGATGGAGGCACACCGCCGAGTTGGGTATTGGTGTCAACCTTTAGGCCTCCGACACTGGCAAGGCCTTGGCCACTGGCCGATCCACCCCCCTAGAAGGAGTTGCAGGCCCCTCCCCTCGGGTTTCCAGACGGCGTGTCCCCGATTGGAGGCTAGAATGGTGGGGCTGAAAGAATGCCACGGCCTGGTGCGAATGGGGACAGGTTAGACGATGGTCTTCTGGTCGGCGGCCGCGACGAGCCAAGCAGAGTGCGGGCGACGGCGGCGCGCACCCGTAGCGACATTTGGGCCCCGAGAGGCGGGGGAGGCGCGCGCGGAGCGCGAGGAGGAGGGCGGGAGGAGGGCCCCGGGGAGGCGGAGGGGGCCAGGCTCAGACCGTGCAGATCTTCGCGTGCGTGCCGAGGTGCGAAGGGCAGGTCGAGGTCGAGGTCCCACGGAGGCACGGCGTCAGGGCGGAGCTGCGCACGCCGAGCTCGACGGGCGACCAGGGCAGGGAGGGGTGCGAAGGGCGTGCCGCGACAGGGCGTCCAGAAACAGGACGAGGTCGATGACGCGGAAGGTGCGGCGCGAGAGCGAGGCCGAACACGAAATGCCCGAAAGAGGTTTAACGTCAGGTCGGGCATGTCCTCCTACAGGCGGATTTTGGATTGAAAAAGAGAACAGACAAAAAAAACTGTATTTGAGAAGAGTCAAACAGATTTTAAAAAAATCGTCCCCATAATATGTTTTAACTATTGTTGGATACTCCTCCTGTAGAGGGGCCTGCTCGACGTAAGGTTAGGCGGTGCTGAGCAGAGGTTATGATGTTCCAACCTTCTTTAGCCTTGGTCATTAGAAAGAACTTCGAGCACCAGGACAGTGCCGACACTGGAGGGCTTTCGCGTGTCGGGCCCCGGGAGGCGATACTCGTTGGACACTGTTCTGATACTCTTCTGGGCGCTCGAAATTCTTTCTGGGATGTGGTCCTGGCTGGGAGCAACATAACGTTGGGCGGAGGTGCTGCGCGCGCAGCGGCCCTCTCCGGGAGAGGGGGGCCTCGCCGCGGCCGGCCTCGCGCCGCCGCGCCCGCTCCGCCGCCGCGCTGCCGGGAGGGGCGCCGAGCGAGGAGCGAACCCAGATTCGTGCTGCTCCCACCAGGTGGGGCATGTCCTCCTACAGGCGGGCTTCGGACGAAAGAATAAGAAATTGCCCAAAAATAATTCAAAATAGTCAAAAATAGTCCAAAGAAATCCTCCCATGACATTTTTTGACTGGTTTAGAATATTGCTCCTGTAAAGGGACAGGCCCGATTTAAACCCTGATTTATGTTGCTCCCATCGGCGGTACATCGCCGCCGATGCATCGCCGATGTGGCGCGACCCTCTGACCCCATCTACCCGGACCCCATTAGGAGGCGTCTGAGATTCAAGAACAGTACTAAATAGTCTGGGGCATATTGTTCGTGCTCTTTTTTGGCCATGCTTGATTTTTGCTTGACTGTGTCTTGTTGTTATTCCAAGATCCGCCTGCAGGATTAGATTGATCCCATCGTCCTTCAGGACCACATCCCAGAAAGAATTTCGAGCGCCCAGAAGAGTATCGGAACAGTGTCCAACGAGTATCGCCTCCCAAGGCCCAACACGCGAAAGCCCTCCAGTATCGGTACTTTCCTGGCGCTCGAAGTTCTAATGACCAAGGCTAAAGAGGGCTGGAACATCATAAACCCAGACTCGCGGGCGGCAAACGTATCCGTATCCGCGCCCTCGCGGTTCGAGGCCCGAGACGCTCGAGGATGGAAGCTTTCCAGCGCGCTCCTCCGCGGCTCTCCGGCCTCGAGGTGCCTTGCAGCGGCTGCGCGACGACGCGGGCTCCCTGGGGGGGCCCAGATCCTCCCGAGCGGCCGCCGGAGAGCCGAGCTGTGATCCGAAGACCAAGGGGCACGAGCGGCGAACGTATCCGTACCCGCGCCCTCGCGGTCCTCGACCGGGGCATCGACTGCAGAATTGATTTACCCCAAAATTGATTTTCACGTCGACTCTTCGACAAAAATACGTCAACCATTCGTAGATCTGCGACAGTTCTACGAATTCCCCGTGACTTGTAGAGCTTCCCCAAGAGCGAAGCGGCGAAGCTTAAGAGTAATTCGAACGCGCTGGCGGGCTAGTGGGCTCAAAAAATCTCGACGGAAGTTTTGCTTTGGTCGGTTAAAATCATTTTCTCGAAAGTTAACCATTCGTTAGAGTTCTAATATTTGTTCCCCGCATTTTCGATCATATTCCCGCTCGTCATCTCGCTCTCAGGTCGATCGGGTGGATACTACGATCAAAAAGCTCTCCGGCGGGATCGGGTGTTGAGTCTCATCTTGACAGGTACTGTCGGTTTTCACAACTTAACTCGAGTTGTAGATCAGCTACGGAGCTCTTCGGCACAGCAATCGAAAAGGAAATTATCAGGCGCGCTAGTCTAAAGTATCTAGATGATTAAGGTCGGTCTGCTGCCGAAGCTGGAACCAAAAAACTATTTGTACTTTGCAAAATGTTAAGAGACGGTGTTGGTTTTCTCGACTTGATTCGAGCTGTACGCAAGCTACAGAGCTGGGGAGCACACCGTTCAACATAAAATCATCGAAAACATCCGTCTACGGTATCGAGACGTCTGAAATCGGTTTGATACCACAGCTGCAACTGAAAACTGCATTACAATTCTTTCTCGAGAGATGATGCTTGTTTTCGCTTCTTGACTCGAGCTGTAGGCTAGCTACGGAACTGAGATGCACAACAATCGACAGGGAACGCTGAGGAGCGCCACTCTAAAAAGTACCTGGACGCCTGAGATCGGTCTGCTACTAGACTTGCGATCAAACAACTATTTGTACTCTTCATTTTTTTGAGAGGCGATGTTGGCTAGTCTACTGAATTCGAGATGTAGGCAAGCTACGGAGCTAGGAAGCACACGGTTCAAGAGGAAATGATCACGAACATTCACCTGCAGTATCCAGACGCCTGAGATCGGTCTGCTACAAGAGCTGCGACTAAAACACGATTCGGACTCTGCAATTTGTTGTGAGATATGTTGCTTGTTTTCTCTACTTAATTCGAGCGGTAGGCTAGCTACGGAGCTGAGATCTAGACCAACCGACAGGAAATGAACACTAGTCTAAAGCATCTGGACGCCTGAGATCGGTCTGCTACCAGAGTTGCGACCAAAACATTATTTGGCCTCTTCAAATTTTGAAGAGGCAGTGTTGGTTTTCTCAACTTAATGTAGGCAAGCTATGGAGCTGGAAAGCACCGTTCGAATGGAAAAGATCACGAGCGCTAGTCTGAGGTATCGAGACGTCTAAGATCGGTCTGCTACCAGAGCTGCGACCGAAAACCACAGTTGTCGCTGCAGCCGCGGCCGCGGCTGGGAAGGAGAAACTATTGCAAATTTGTCGCTGAGGTTTTTCTTCTCCCAGCCGCGGCCGCGGCTGCGGCCGTGGCTGCGGCCGCCGCTGGGAGGAGAGAACTATCGCGAATTTGTTGCGATGGTGTGTGTGTGTGTTTGCCTGAAGTGAACTCGAGCTGTGGGCAAGCCAAGAAGCTATCAAGCATATTTCTATGAAACCGCACACCCTCGCGCGCGCTCAATGCGAGATTGCCGCGCTCGCATGCCAAGGAAGCTCTACGAGTCCCCGGCGGTAACCAAGGTTGACGGTTTACCGCCGGCTTCCAGTGGATTCGACAAGAAAAATCAATTCTGGGGCAAATCAATTCTGTAGTCGATCCCCTACTCGAGGTCTGGATTCCGTGGCGCGCTCCCGCGGATACACACTCGCACGGATACGATCCGCGTGGGGCGTCCGCGAAAAAACGCCCCACATCCGCGGGGTCGTGGCTCAGGGGCCCGGCCCGCGAGGGCGCGGATACGGATATGTGGTTTTCGCCCACGGGGTTCGTGCTGCCACGAGGGACGCCGAACAAGGAGCGAACCCAAACATCCAACTCATTGGAACACCGAGACAGAAGCTTTTGAACACTTTCGGCCCCGGGACTGTCCGAAAAGGATTCGCTAAAAAAAGGGCCGGGACCTCCAGGGAACCCGCAGAAACAAAATCGGGACACTGGATCTCTGGGAAGGGGGCCGCGGCGACGCCTGGCCATTTGCAAGGCTCCCCGACCTGGATCCTCTCCCTCTCCCGCGCCTCTTTACCGCCCCGCACCACTCACTTCTCCCCGCCTTCCACCTCGCTCGCCTTCGCTACACACACGCCCACATCCCACGCACAACCCGCACCACCCGCGCTCCCGCATCACACGCGCAGCACACACTCACCGCCCCCCACGTTTGTTGCTCTTGACGCACCTCGCTCTCCGCAGTCCGAAAGTGAAAAGTGCTGGGTTGGTGGAGGAGCTTGACGGGCTCCCCGACATGGATCTGAAGAAGAGTCCGAAGGCCATGGGACGCAGAAAGACATACTAGTAGTATGTCTCCTCCTTGGAGGCGTGCGCCCGACCAGCATGGCCAGAAAGCGACAACAACGGAGCTTATAGTGTAAGATTTCCGAACGTGCGCGTCGTCTTTGCGTGGCCGCCGCACATAGAGCAGTAGTACGTTTGGGCGGCGCCGAGGCCAGAACCCCTCGTGGTCCCAGAATTGTCCTCGTTTCGGCGCCTTGGCTGCGGGCGCCGGCAGGGCCCTGCGCGCCTGGCAGCGGAGCCGCTGCGTGCGCACGCGGGGCGGCCACAAGAATTCCCAACAAGACCCCCTCGAGGCCCCCCCCCAGAGGTCCCCTGGAGACACTGCGGAGACTCCCCAGACACGCCTCCCGAGAGCACCGCTGAGGTTGCTAAGGGGACAAGGGACAAGAGGGTTAGAAGTGGATACTGAGGTGGGTTACGTCTGGCCAGAAGTAGCGTATATAAGTGGGCTATATGTGCCCTGGGCTGTCTGAGGTGATCAGACAGCTCCGCCAAGGGGGCTCGCCCACTTAGACTAGAAACGCACCCCCACCCTAAACCACTCAGGATATCTGCAACCCACCTATAAGCCAGATGAGGCCAGATGTAGCCCCATTTAGCATCCACTCCTAGGCCCTCTGTCCCCTTAGCAACCCCGCGGTCACCCAAGTGAGAGCCAGGAAAGCTTCCCAGAGAACCCCCGAAGCCCCCAAGGGGGCACCAGCGGGATGGGCCGCTGGCCACGCGACAGGGACACAAGGAGGCTAAGAAGCGCGCGGAGTGAGACCCTGGCTTTGTGGCTTCGTACCTCGATCCTCGAGCCTCGGTCCACAATCTTGGGGGAAGCCCAGGGCGTGTCCAGGGGAATGCTGTTTCTTTGGCATCAGCGTCAACGCCTCCTGAAACCATAAAGAGCACCTGCAACGGAGAGTGGTGCGGGGTACGCCAGCAGACATGGCCGCGAGCCTGAAACAAAATCGATCCGACCCCGACCCCGACTCCACCCCACGGCCCTCCCCTGGAGTTGCGCGAGCCGCCTCCTCTCCCTCGAGAGCGGCAGACATGACTACCTGCCAGACCACCCCAACCCAACCCGAAGACCCGAATTTCGGGTTGGGGGGTATGGGCTCCATATATGTTTTTCCAATGTTCCCAGAACCCCCCCCACTGGAAATGGAGGGCTGATTGACGCCTTCGGGTTGGGTTGGGGTGGTTTGGCGGGCGGTGAAGACACGCGCTTGAGCACAGCACGGGCAGCGGCCAGCGTCTCACCAGACGCAAAAAAAAACAGCCGGCACGGGCGGCACACGGGCTGCAAGGCGCAGCCAGGCACGCAGCCGAGGAGGCCGCCTGTCCAGGCTCCGCCCGCGCAGCCTCCCAAGGGGAATGTCCTGGGGAAAGAATTTGGAAGAGAGCCCAGCCGTTGCCAGAAGCGCCCATGGAGGCCCAGAAATGACCGACGACTTCGAACCTCGATACTCAAATAGCGACGACGAAGACAACGAAGATCAGGACGCCGACAACAGCGACGACGACGACGACCATGCCACCACCACCACCACCACCATCACCACCACCACCACCATGGCCACGACGACGATCACGACCACGACCACAACCTCGACCACGGCCACAACCTCTACCACGACAACTGCGACGAGCGCGACGACGCCAATCACGATCACGACCACGATCACGACGACGGACGACGCCGCCAACGGACGACGACGGACGACAACGACAAACAACAACGATGGACAACAGACGACGACAACGGACGCTGGACGACGACGACGACGACGACGACGGCGGCGACGACGACTGGATCCTCGAACTTCGATCCTCGAACGGTCCCACTAGAAACTGGGTACACCAAGGCTCCAGGCACACGACGGCACGATGTCGCCATTTCTGCCAATGTCGCTTGGGGGGCTTGGGAACCGCAAAAAATATGATTACGCTATCAACTATCCAGAAAATTGCTGCACCATCTTTTCAGCAAGCGATAAGCATCTGGGGTCCATGAGAGAGAGTCCCGCTGCTAAGCGCAGCTGCCAAACCAGAAAGACAGTGCCAACCGAAGCTCATTCTCTCGGGACACAGGATCTCGAAACAGGCCTGAAAGCGCCCACTGAGCCACAGCACGGACCAAACCCTTCCCTCCCACATCGCACGTGTTTCATGACACGGGCCCCCAGTCGGCGGCGAGCCCGGGAGGGAAGTGAGAAGGGGCAGGCCTTCTCGGAAGGCTCGACAGTCCCCTGGCCTTCTTAGAAGTGTTCTAAGCCTGCCCCGACGGCACAGAAAATCAGAAGGCGCGAGGGCTTCTGAGAGGTCCCGCCGCCTTCTCAGAAGGCCTTCTCCTCTCTGGTCCCCCCCCTCGCTGGCCGCCGACCCCAGGGACCCCGACCCCTTCGCCAGGGCCTGGCTTTCGTGCTGGCTTGTTGCTTGATGGCCTTGGGGGCTCGGAGGCGGCCCCCAGAGGCCGAAGGCGCCCCGAAGACCTGGCGGTTGCACACGTCTGGGGACAGGGCTGAACCTAAACGGTGTCGTTCGCTTTCGTTTTGTTTTCGTTTTCCCTCGTTTTGTCTTCCGTCCGCCTTTGGCGCAAAACGAAATCGGAACGAAAACGGCCCACGAAATCGCCACAACACCGTCTAGGCCCACCCCTGTCCCAGACGTGAGGGAAGGCGAGGGGCAGGGGAGACTCGACTCGCACCGAGCGCAAGCCGAGCGCCGTCGCGCTTCAGGCGTGGGACGCACGCGGGACACGGGCCCCACACGGGCCAGGAAGAAGAGGACATCGCACGCCACGGGGTCTTCGACGAAGCGCCCTCCCCGCAGGGGAAAAGGCCAAAGGAGCGCAACGGGCCCATCAGAACGACCAGCCGCCGTCAGTGCATCGGCGGCGCGCCCATGAGGGAGGGGGCCCTGGGACACACAAAGAAATACACACAAATAAAAGGATTCCCCATATTTCCCCATATTTTCTGGGTTTCTGTTTTCCCCCCCCACTGCCCATATTTTCCAATATTTTCTGGGGAATTGACGATTAATTGTGTCTGTGTGTTTTTTTGCCTCCTGAAAGGGGGGGGGGCAGGCCTTCCCAGAAGGCTCAGAAGGGCCCTCCCCGAAGCCACAGCGGGCTTCCCATCATACTTCGAGCGGACCGACTTCGAGTATGGGGGCCGAGCTGTCCGACACCGGGGGGGGGCCCTTCAAGCGGGGGCCCTCATGAGGCAACACGCTTCCACTGCCCTTCCAGCGGTCCACCCCGACAAATCGAGGGGTCGTCTGGGTCTGGGTGCTAGTTGCCAGCTCCTGATTCTCACAAGGCCGGGGACCTTTTGAGAAGCCCCGCCGCCGTCTGAGAAGACTCGCCCTCTCTCATTTCCCCTATCGGCGCGCCGCCACCCCCCGACCCTCGTCCCGTCCTGGTCGGTTTCGCAGCCCACTCCAGCGATCGGGGCAGACGTGGAGCCAGTCGCTGGCTCAAAAGCGTTGGGCTCCCACCCGAACAAGTCTGAGACCCGCCACCGTGCCGCGAGGCACGAGGTGGAGTGCCCCCAGGTCCCCCGCAGTCCTCAGCCCTCAGCCCTCCGGATTTAATACTGATAGGCCCTGACCCCAAAATGTTCAAGTCATCCCGGTGCCCGGCGTGCCTCCCACAGTTCCCCAGCGCTTCCCACACGACACTTTCGGAGCCCCGAGCGCCCCGAAGCGGGCCAGGAGGGCCACGAGAGGCCTCTGACCTACAACCCGTGCACGGTGGCGGGATGGGCCCAAGGCCAGTCTTCGGCAACGTCGCTGGCACCAACTGGCGGCGCCGAGTGGGGCGCCCCAGCGAACGCCCGATCCTAGATCGGCACGCGCTGCGGGCGGGGCATCGTCGTCGCCGTCGCCATCGTCCCCCTTCAGGGTCGGCGGCACTGGCCGTCGGCAACGTCGCTGGCACCAGCTCTGGCGAGTTCTGGAAACCCTGAACCAAAAAACCTTGCCATCTGTCGGGAGGCCGGCTGTAACTTCCGCTGGCCTTCCGCTGGCCTGCGCCGGCAGAGGCGGCCTCGTTCTTCTTCCGCCGCCTTCCGCGAGCCTTCCTTTTTCAACCACTGCGCCCAGGAACCTCCAAGGAAGGACGCTTCGTGAGGGGCCTAAGAAAACTTCAACCGAAATCGGCGCATTCGGAAACCTATATTCCGAACGATGGGCCCACCGACGGGTGCGCATGCGGGCTCGGACGGAGAGGCCGTCCCCCCACCCCCCACGCCCAGCTTCTGCGAGCCAGCCGCGAGCCTTCCGCCAGCTTCCACCGAGGAAGAGGTGGCAACTCCTTGGATCCTCGAAGGCGAGGCCCTTTCTGGAACGCCTGAGGCGGCGTCGCCAAGCGGGGCGCCCCGGCAAGGGCTCGATCCTCGAGCGGCACGCGCCGCGGGCGGGGCCGCGCGCCTCGCTGGCCACCGACAGGCGCTCGTCGAGCTCCCACCAGCCGTCGCCTCGCGACGCAGCCGCTGCTCGCCGCGGGGGACCGCTGGCGTTGCACCGAGCGAGGGCGAGGGCGAGGAGGAGGAGGGCGGGAAGGCGAGGGTGGGGAGGACGCCGACGACCGAGAGAGGCTCGACCTGATTCGGCACTCAAGGGGAGGGCGACCACGGCAGGCTCATGTCGTGTCGACCCTCGCGTTGGTTCTTGACGCCGCGGGGATGGTTCAGCCTTGAACGATCGGCCGTTTCCGAAAGGTCAGATCGTTCAACATCAACCGATTCTGGGTCGCCGGCGGCGCTCAACCTTGAACGCTGGCGGCAGGGTCGTCGCCGTGTCAACCCGACGCAAACCTACCGCAAGCAGGGGAGATCGGCGGCCAGCCTGGGGGGGAAGTGGGAGGGGGGGCGGGCCTTCTCAGAAGGCTCGGAAGTGCCCCGGCCTTCTGAGAAGTTTGCTAAGCCTGCCCCGACACAGAAACCTTCACAGAAGGTCGGAGCCCTTCTGAGAAGCCCCGCCGCCTTCTGAGAGGGCCTTCTCCTTCTCGCTTCCCCCCTCGCTCGCCGCGGATTCTGGGTCGCGTGCGGCGTTCCACGCGGAATGCCAGCGGCGGGGTCGTCGCCCGTCGACACGACGCGAACCTACCGCATTGGCGAGAAGTGGGCGACTGGGGGTCGATGCGTTTCTTCTTCTTGAGCAAGCTGCGAGGCACGACACCTGAGGTCGATGCGTTGCATATCCCTTCCTAACGTTGCCCCCGAAGCTGCCGTGCCTCTGGGCCGGCTGGCCGTTCACCCTGCCAACGGCCGCCCCCGAGGAGGACGGAGAAGAAGGCCTCCACGGCGCAAATCTACCGTAAGCAGGGAGGAGGTCGGAGTCGTCCGACACCTCCCTCCCTGCCCGCCGCTCCTCCCGGGCCTGTCCCAGGGCCTCCGGTCCCTGCCCGAGAGGTCCCCGCAAGGAGCCTCTCCCGAGGCCTTCCCCTCTTCTCCCCTGCGTTCGCTTCTCGGGCGAAGGCGCGGTTCCTCTTCGCAGGCCTAGGCTCGGAGGCGGACAGGAGCGGGCTGGGTAGCCGCGGGCCGCCCCCCCGGCCTCCCCCTCCCTCCCCATCCCCGCACGAGCGAGCCTGCTCCTTCCCTGGGTGGTGGACGCCGCGGAGTCAACGCAGTCGCCTCCTTGGCCCTGCAACCCTCTTGCCAAAAGACCCGAGCCCGCGGGCCCAACATACAATCCTTTACGGGAGGACACCTACCTACCTCAATCGCCTCCCCCACCAGCGCCACCACAACCACAACCACCTCCTCCACCTCCTCCTCCTCGTTCTCATCCTTCGTCTGCTCCTTCCTCTTCGCCCCCTTCCCCAACCATCCTCCCCTGATCCCCCTGCCTCATCATCGCAATCACAATCATCATCATCATCATCATCATCATCATCATCATCATCATCATCATCATCATCATCATCATCAGCAGCAGCAGCATCATCATCATCATCATCATCACCATCATCATCATCATCATCATCATCATCATCATCATCATCATCATCATCATCATCATCATCATCATCATCATCATCATCATCATCATCATCCTCATCATCATCATCATCATCATCATCATCATCATCATCATCATCATCATCATCATTAACATCATCATCATCATCATCAGCAGCAGCAGCATCAGCATCAGCAGCATCATCATCGCCATCAGAAGCAGCATCATCAGATTCATCATCGTCATCAGCGGCATCATCAGCATCATCAGTAGCAGCATAATCCTCATTATCATGATTAGCATCATCGGCATCGACGTCCTTCTTATCAAACGCATCATCTGCAGAATCACCATCTGCACCATCATCCCCATCATCGACATCAGCATCACTATCAGAATCCACATTATCATCAACATCATCATCATGATAATCACCATCCTGATCTTCAGCATCACACCACATCATCATCATCCTCATCGTCATCCTCATCATCATCATCACCGTCGGCGTCGTCTTCGTCGTCGCCATCATCAACATCATCACAATCATCATCATAATCCTCACCATATTCATCAGACTCGCCACTCCAATCACCATCATCAACATCATCAACACCATCACTATCATAATGATCATCATCACCACCACCACCACTATCATCATCGTATTCGCCACAATCATCCTTACCGGAATAATCATCACAACCGTCATCATGAACATCGATATCATTATCATCGTCGTCAGCATTTCTACATATTTCCTTTCAGATCAAGATCCTCCACGGGCACAGACGCTCAACCGTGTGGGTTCGGTCTCGCGTGAGCCATGCAAAGCCCTGCAAACTGAAACTCTACTGTGCGCAATGGAACAACGACCAGAATGCATCATAAGTTCCTCTGTGACCCGTCAATTCAAGTCTTCCAGATACCTAAACAGTATACGAATATCGTACGTCAGTCAGCTAATCCATGCGATACCGATGGCCACCTCCTGATCAGTTCATTGTTCGTCATCCTGAACCTCAGCGGTTGAGCTTGGTTTTGAAAAGTCCCTGAATATCGAACCTGCCAAAGAATGCGTCACGGTGCAGCTCGTGGAACCAAGCAGATGATCTCGCGAGTCTGGTGGCAGCTTTGGCAATATCTGCTGACGTGCCACTCCAACCCCTCAGTCGAGGTGGCGTGCGCTCAGAAGCGAAGGCCATCACCACTTGTCTGATACTGGCCGCGTCTAGGCGATGTCGGCTTCGGCGACGTGTTCAGAGTGCTGCTCGCCGTCCTCACTGGCTTCGGCAACAGCAATGGTGCGTGTTCTCGTCGAAGAACCAGGATGGCATAGTCTCGCGTCCGCCATTGGCTTGGTCGTGGATCTCGCAGTGGATTTTGACCGCTGGGAGCCCGGAGAATCGCCGCCTGCCTCATCGGCTCCCCCGCGTGGCGCTATGCCGGCATGGCCGACCGCGCGCGCTCCTCGGGCGCGCGGCACGGCCTGGCAGATCGAGGCCTGGAGCACTCGACAGGCCTTCTGCTGCCGCAGTCCAGAGATGACCGCCTTGCCAGGCACGGCGCCCTCGGGGACTACAAGTGCAAGTACTGCATTCGAACGCTGAGAGAATGAAATCAACAAACACCCTTTGCAATTCTGGATACGCCTATGTTGTCATATGCAGTAGCGGCCACTCCAGACATCTTATGGCTCCTCGTCGCTCCTCGCTCTGGCGTTCTGGCCAGTCGCCATGGTTGGAGTCAGCGAGGAAGTTGAATCAGCATCGGCTCGTTCTTCATAGTCCCCGTCGTTGCGGCGGAGTCCGGAGTCCGGGCGCTCGCAGTCGTGGCGACCGACATCAAGTCCGCGAGACCTGTCTGCAATCGCGCACATGAGATTCAATGGCGAGCTGAGAAGCGCCCCGCGCAAGCCCTCCGACCAGAACGCGCTGAACACCGCAATCGACCTGCACCACGGCATCGAACACAGCAGCTACATTCATTGCGGGCATTATTTGTTCAGCAGGATTCACCATCACGTCTTACGCCAAACATTCCATCACCCGTCACTTCACAGAAAGGGTCATACGCGGCCTTGTAATGGTGCCCTTAGACAACCTGAATCGTGCTGACTGGCTTCATTGGTCCACTGTGGATATGTCATCCTGACCATCTGAATCTCTCATGCCTGCATTGTGCAAGCTCGCGGCTGCCATGTGAATGTTCACCTTCCTGGTCACATGATGATTCTGGAACGGTCTTGCATCGCATTGCGAGCAACCTCGAATCAGCCATGCTTGGAGCCGCGCCGAAGGCAGCTGCCCGTCGCTTTCTTGCAAGGGTTCTGCATCAGTTTCTACTTCCACCGACCATAATTCGTCGGTTGCTTCTTCCTCGCCACTTCAAAGCATGGGTTCCTTTTATACGGCGTCTGGTCTGGGAGAGATGCGTTGCTATCAATACGAATGTGTTCAGCTCGCAGATAGCTATAGCAGCATTTGTCAGCGACCTACGGCCGCCTCTCATCCTGGAACGACAAGTTGGAACGCAAACGTCGTCTTCGTGATTTCGATGCGAGCAGGTTTCCAGGTGCACCACCTGAAGTTCTGGGGCAGTCCGCAGAAAGAGCACGTCGGCCCATGGAAGCTGAAATTGTGGCCGACTCCGAAGTCCAGTCGCGCAGCGGTTCGTGCCCGCTGGTCAGAGCGGATTCAACGGCATCGGTTTCATCCGCGCGTCCGTCGAGCGCTAGAGCCGCATCTGCATGGTAAGCCCATGACATTATCAGTACCAGAGTGCCCCTCAGCATGTCGGGATCAAAAGCAGAGTTCTCGAGAAATTTTGAACGGCGGATCAATGAGTACGGACGGCTGCCTTGCCTGACGACCACGACGCCTCGACGGACTGCCCCGTGGACTTACAGCAGCTGCGCGCGAACTTGCTGCACGCCACCGCCGCAGACCCAGATTGGAAAGTCTGATCTGACTTCCCCGCGCTGCAGGCGTTGCCCCTCGCGTTCCGTCGAGCGCGCGCTGTCTTGACCGCTTGACTCCGCGGCAACCCGCGAGGGCGAGCGGGCCCACTTGCGCTGCCAGCCCTTTCTGCTTTCGCCAAAACGAAGTGCTACACGGGCGAGGGCGAGCAGAAGTACCAGAAACTAGGTCGCGCGTGTTTTCGGAGACTCTGGGATATATCAGCAATGCCGTTTCCTGCAGCGCGGAGGACGGTAGCCAGAGGAACACGCGCGGTCGTCGAGGTATCTACATGCACGCGTGAGGCAGCGTCGCTGTGGAAGAATAGGTTGAGGAGTCTGGAATGCAACGCTTCAGGATGCTGCTCCAGATGCGGGTGCCCCGCGGAGTCCGTGACGGCTGCCCGAGCAAATCTTGGCAAGGCCTGCGAGGCCTGCCGGGCATCGGGCGCTTGGGCCTGCATGGGCCGGTTCCACCGGGAGGACCTCGGACGCCGCCCAGGCCCAAGATACTTGCAGCCAGCGTGGCCGGAAGCTTGGACGCCGCCTGCCATCCGAGGGTGCGTGGTCACGCAGCCAGGTTCTGCTTACCCACGGGGCTCCTAGCTCTGGCTTTGCACGCTGCCACGGTCTTAAACTGAGTCACGTTCGGCTCCTTAGTCATTGAGCTCATTGGGGTGTGTAGATTGGAGATGTGACACCCGCTGCCGCGGTGTCCGCCGTCCTTGACGATGAGGAAGCGCTATTCTTTGAAGGTACAGTGTCGGCTCCAGGTTCTCCCACTGATTTATCGTAGGTACAATTGTTCGGGCAGTTTTCTGGTTTCGATACGTTGATGGCACCATTGGTTTTTTTCGATTTGTACATTGCGTTAGCTGTGTCAAGTTCCTGTTTGTCTCGGTGTTTTCTTAGCTGTATGTAGTCCCGCGGACCTAAGCAGAAGAGAGACCTGCTCCCATGGCTCGCTCAGTCGCCCACGCCGTTTGCGAGACTTCTAGGTCAGCTGCTGGGGAGGATCTAGCTGTTTATCATTGGAATTCGCTCGTGGACTGCGGTTCATCGCGATAATGGAGCCTGTTGGAATTGTGAAAGCTGCAATACCCCATCTCATAGATTCGTTTGTTGGTCCACGCTACTCCCCCTTTATCCTGCAGTTGTTCAGGCCCGAAGGTCCGTGAGGTCACTGAATCACAGCCAGAAGCAGACAGACATGGCCAAATCCAATGGCGGGCGTGGTCAGCAGCAATCTCGCGGATGCTGTGCTTGGCCGCCGGCTTGGCAGCCGAAGCCGAACGACCGCGATCGTGAACAGGATCGGGATGGTAACATGGGGAAGCATCGCTCGAGCAGCTCGAGCAACCCAGATACGGAGGACCAGGCGAAAGTCGACGAGAGTCGACCAGCAAGCGCTGAAAAGAAGATCGCGGAGTCCAAGGCGGAGGCTGCACGCACCAAGGAATGCGAGCGGCAGGGCAAGACCATCGCCAACGCCATCGCCCCGCAGCAGTCCTCCGCCATCGCCGCCAGAGCGGTGCAGGCCGGCACCCCCGCAGCCGTGGGGAGCGCCGCAACGGCGCCCACAGCGGCGGCCCCGGCAGGTGGGCCGCGGCCTTTCCCGCCTCTGGCTCCACCTGTGGCGGCGCCGCCTGTGGCGCCGACGGCCTCCCCGCGTGCCTACATCGCCGCGCGGTGTGGCCACGCTTTCAAGATCGAGAATGGCACGGGGGGGGAGCTCAGGGAGAAGATCGACGAGAGGTGGTCGAACGACAATCCCACAGGCATAGACAGCATGATCGAGGACGTGGGCCAGGGCGTCGCGCCCCCGAGGTCCAAAGAGAAGAGGATAGGCAGGCTCTTCGAGGTCGTCAAGACCATAGCCTGAATCGTCCTCGCCACAATCGAGTACGCAGTCCGCATTGTCATTTTCATCGTGAGGGTGCTCTACTTTCTGGTTGCTCATGTCATTGCGTTCTATCTGGGATATCGCTACGGGCATTGGGCTGCAACGTGGGAGCTGTACATCACGGCACGCGACTTTGTTAGCAATACTGTTGGCACCATGTTGGTTTCTTACTTCACTGGAGGGCCAGTGCCTGTGGGAGATGTGGGCATGGCAGCAGCCATTAACTTGGACGCATCGTGGACGAAGCATCAGGAGGCCACTTTTTGCGGGCCATAGGATATGGAACATGAGCCGGTCTGACACTCGGGTGTGTGTGTGTGTGTGAGCGGAGAGTCTTCTCTCCAGGTGAGTGCTGCCATCGGTCCCTTGCAGCTCCCTAGAGGGCCATCATCTCTAGAGCTTCCTTTGGGCACAGGAGCCCCCGCGGACACAAACGCTAAATCGTATTCGTTCGGTCTCGCGTGACCATGCAACGCATCACGAACTGAAGCTCAACTGTGCGCAATGGCAAAGGCGACCAGAAATCATCATCATTGTCATCGTCATCGTCATCATCATCATCATCATCATCATCATCACCACCACCACCACCACCATCATCATCATCAGCATCAGCAGCACCATGATCAGCATCATCATCATCGGCAGCATCATCATCATCATTGTCGTCACCATCATCATCATCATCATCATCATCATCATCATCATCATCATCATCAACAACAACATCACAATCATCATCGTCATCGTCATCGTCATCATAATCGTCATCATCATCATCGGCAGCATCAGCATCAGCGTCAGCATCATCATCATTATCATCATCAGCATCACCGTCATCATCAACGTCGTCATCGTAATCATCATCATCAGCATAATCAACAGCATACTCATCATCAACAACATCATCATCATCGTCAGCATCATCAGCGTCGTCATCATCATCAGCAACAGCAACATCGTCATCATCATCATAATGACCATCATTATCACCAAAACTACCACCACCGTCACCGTCATCGTCACCACCATCATCATCAACATAAACATCATCATCTTCATCATCATCAGCATCATCATCGGCATCATCATCGGCATCATCATCGGCATCATCATCAGCATCAGTATCACCGTCATCAGCATCATCAGGAAGGCAGTCCGATCGAGTCAATGCTCGGCCCAGAATCGGGCGCGACTGTGTTGAACCTCAAGCCTCACTCTTGGAGCCCGAGGGAAAAACGCACAAAGTCCTCTTCGTGCTCGTGAGAAGAACTGTCCGCACTCACTTCATACAATTCGCTTTCAGAATACTCCCTTGCAAACTTGCGCAGGTAGTCGTCCCATCTCACAGCGGGTCGTCCGCGTGATGGTCCAGCCTCAGGACACGTTGCAGGTGGGTGCCAACGCGATACTCTTGCAGGCCAGCTGTCCGACATCGTGCCAACACGATGAGCCAGCCTGTATTGCCGTCGTAGCAACTGGACGCTCCAGTCTTCCATGGAGTAAGTTGTTAGAACAGCATTCACTGTCAGCCTCATCCTCCGCATTGTTTCGTCCCACGGCTCACCTTCCATACGAACCCACCCAACGATTTTTCGAATGATCCTCCGCTGAAGCACATCTGATGAGCTCATTTGTGTCCGCGTCATCGCACAAGACGAGAGGCCGAACAATATCGTTGGAGTGAAGACTGTGTCGAATAACTTGATACGGGAGTATATGCTCAACTGCTTGTCCATTAGAACGTCACGATGCTGATAAAATCTCATCCATGCTATTTGAATCCGGTGGCCAAACTCAAGAAGACTCCTCGAACGGAGGTTGCCGCACAGCTTCCTTCCCAAATATTTGTGGGCCATGTCGCCGTTTAGGACGTCCACGGGCTCGCCCCCCATGTCCAACGAACCCAGACTGATGTCGCATGCTGTCGATCAGCATCACCGTAATCAACATTGTCGTCGTCATCGTAATCAGCATCATCATCATCGTCAGCATCATCAGCGTCGTCATCATTGCCATCATCATCAGCAGCAACAGCATCGTCATCATTATCATCGTCATCGCCATCACCACGATCACCACCTTCACCGTCATCTTCATCACCATCATCATCATCGTCAACAACAGCAGAATAATAATCCTCATCCTCATGATCAGCATCATCCTTATTATCATTATCGTCATCATTGTCATCATCATCATCATCATCATCATCATCATCATCATCATCATCATAATCATCATCGTCCTCATCAACATGCTAAGCGTCAACATCATCATCAGCAGCAGCATCATCATTAACATCATCAGCATCATTAACATCAGCATCATCGTCATCATCATCAGCAGCAGCACCATCATCATCATCATCAGCAGCATCAGCATCTTCTTCTCTCGAGGGCGGCGGGTACCGCGGGCGCCCCGCCTGCGGCGCTAGCAGCGAGCAGGGTGGGAGTGCTGCTGGCGGTGCTGCAAGAGGCCTGGCCTGCGGGCGGGCAACGGGCGGGCTGCCGCGCGGCAGCGGCCGCAGGCACGGGGGACTCTTCGAGCAGGGGATCGTCTACAAAACTGATGTACCCCATACTTGAGTTCCCGTCGAATCCACGAAAAATGCGTAGAATGCTCCGTACATCTGCGGAACAGTTTACAAATGCTTCGTAGATTCGACGGGAAGAAGATCTGGGGGGCCATCAATTCTGTAGTCGATCCCCTGCTCGAACTCTGGCGCCTGGCTCGCCAACGGTCGGTGTGCAGTCTGGCGTTGGCGGCCTGCGCCACTCCATCGCAGCCTGACACGCGACCGTCACGCAGGCTTGCGATGCCCTCTGAGGCTGTTTTGTTCGTGCTCGTGTGCGCTCTTGCTCTCAGCTGACTTGTTTGTGATTGTTCTGATGTGTGTAACTAATGTCATTCTTACGATTATTACTATTACTATTATTATGTTCGTCTTCTTCGTGCTTCGGCATGATGCCCCCCTCCTTTGGGCATGCCCCCCGCTCCCTCCCCCGCTCGGGGGGGAACGATAGGAGAGACGGGCTCATGGGGGGGGGGACCGAGCTCGAATCGGCGATCCTCCCACAGCAAACCCGCATGTTCCTGGGCAGGGTGGGCTCTCTGGCCCCCATCGGCGATCAATGGGCGGTTGGGGGTCGAGGCATCCCCCAGTGAACTTATCTCCCCCGAATGTTGCACCTGATGACCACCACGACTGCTGGAAGACGCAAACAGTACACACCCAGCCGCTCCAATTTTTTCGATGCGTGGGCCCTGGAGGTCTGGTCTACTTCCCTGGGACTGGTTTTTCGTCCCGAGCCGTTTTTCGACGGTCCCGACGCCTGGCGAGGGCCCCCGGAGGCCGATAACGGCCAAAATCTAGCCCGATTTCTTCGGAGCGATGTTGCATCTCTGGGGCTGACCACCACGACTGACGCAGGACGCAAACTGTGCACGTGCGCCGAGCCTGGCCAGGCCCGCCCTGGGCTCCGGACTGGTGCGCACTTTTCTAGTAGTCAGCGGCCCCAAAAAGGATCAGACGGCGGGCGAGCAGCGGCGGGTCGCGCCGAAGCACAAAGTGCCGCGGGGAGAGGAGGAGCGCGCGGCGCGGAGGAGCTGGTGGGAGGCGCGGGGGGGCCCGGAGGGTTGCGATGCTCCAACCTACTGTAGCCTTGATCACCAGAAAGAGTTCGAACACCCAGAGAGTACCGAAATCTGAGGGTTTTCGCGCGTCGGGCCCTGCGGGAGACGATACTCGTTCGACACTGTCTCGACCACTTTTCTAGGTGCTCGAAATCATTTCTGGGATGTGGTCCTTAAGTACGATGGGAGCAACATAACCGGAGGGGGCCCGAGGGCGGGAAGGCCAGGACTGGTGCCCACACGCCCTCCCGGCTTGGCCGGGGAGGGCGTGTGCACCGATCATGGACCGCGCCTCTGGCGGCGACCCCGACGTCGCCCCATGGCGCGCTCTGGGTGCCGGGGACGAGGACGTTGACGACGACGAGGACGACGACGACGACGACGACGACGACGACGACGACGACGACGACGACGACGAGGACGACGACGCCGAGGACGACGACGACGACGACGACGAGGACGACGACGACGACGACGACGACGACGACGACGACGACGACGAGCAGCCCGCTCGGCCCCCGAGGAGGGGGCGCAGGGAGGGGGGTCCAGCGCCGACCCGAGAAATCCGCGCGGACCTCTCAAGGTTTCTGTCTATGCCAGTGGGCATGCCGCCCAGCCTAGAGGCCCAAAAGAAGGCAGCAGCAGAGGGCGGAGGCGAGGAGGTGAAGTCGGCGCACAACAGTCCGCACGGGGGGACTGCACCACCTGGGAGGTACAGGACTTGCTGATTTGCGGGATGCGGGCGTGAAAGGGTGCCACACAAGAGCACTCGAAAGGGTGTGCACAACCACCACCCTGAGACCAAGCGTCACGAGAACAAAAGAACATCGTGAAAAATTGCGACAGGAGCCAGAACTCCCATCTTCCTGCTGCACTTCTCGATCTGGATTGGTCCCCTCCAAAGCCCCGCCACGCCCTGGAGCAGGGCGTGGTCGGTGGAGCGCCGGTCAGGCCCCGCGGTGGACGTGCAGGCAGATGGCGCCCTCTGTTCAGGGCAAGATAGCGCGGGGCAGGCCCGATCGCAGCGAGGGAACAGGAGGAGGAGGAGGAGGAGGAGGAGGAGGAGGAGGAGGAGGAGGAGGAGGAGGAGGAGGGAGGAGGAGGAGGAGGAGGAGGAGGAGGAGGAGGAGGAGGAGGAGAGAAGGGAGGAGGATATAGGGAGGAGGAGGAGGATAAGGAGGACGAAGACGAGGGAGGACGAGGAGAGGGAGAAGGGGGAGGGGAGGAGGAGGAGGAGGAGGAGGAGGAGGAGGAGGAAAAGGAAAGGAGGAGGAGAGGACGAGACGAGACGAGGACGAGGACGAGGAAGATGACGAGTAGAGGGGGTATGATTGGGAGGAGGGGGGAGGGGAGGAGGAGGAGGAGGAGGAGGAGGAGGAGGGGAGGGGAAGGAAGAGGAGGAGGAGGAGGAGGAGGAGGAGGAGGAGGAGGAGGAGGAGGAGGAGGAGGAGGAGGAGGGAAGAGGACGGAGGAGGAGGAGGGTAGGAGGAGGTGGAGGTGGAGGAGGACGAGGGGGAAGCGGGAGGAGGAGGAGCGGGAGGAGGAGGGGAAGTGGAAGGAGGAGGAGGAGGAGAAGGAGGAGGAGGAGAAGGAGGAGGAGGGGGAAGAGGAGGAGGGGGAAAGAAGTGAGGGGAGGGGGAGGAATAGGGGGGGCGTTGCCAAAGGTCGTCCAGGCCGCCTCTGCGGTGCGCCGCGGCGCGGAGGGCGGCGCGGAGCGGCCTGCCCCCGCGTCGCCGCTGGCCGCCGCGGAAGGCCGCGGCTCCGCAGCCGCGCCGGCGGGCTCCTGGGCGCACGCGCGCGCGGAGGCCTCGCTCGGACGCCCGACGGTCGCGTGGAGGCGGCCGCCGCGCGCCAGCGCAACGGCTGCCCGCCGGCGCGGAGGCGCCGTTCGGCAGCCAGCGTGCGGCGCCAGGCGCACGGTGCCTGCCGAGCGTGGCCCGCAGGCGGCGCCCGTGGGGCGGCGGCCCGCCAGGGAAGCCCTATCGGCCCTGTCGAAGGGGAGGTAGAGGAGGAGCAGGAGGAGGAGGAGGAGGAGGAGGAAGAAGAGCGGGAGTGGGAGGAGGAGCGGGAGTAGGAGGAGGAGGAACAGAGGAGGAGGAGGAGGAGGAGGAGGAGGAGGAAGAAGAGGAAGAGGAAGAGGAAGAGGAAGAGGAAGTGAAAGAGGAAGAGGAAGAGGAAGAGGATGGAAGAGGAAGAGGAAGAGGACGAGGAAGAGGATGAGGAACAGGAGGAGGAGGAGGAGGAGAAGGAGGAGGGGGAAGGAGAAGGAGGAGGAGGAAGAGTAGGAGGAGGAGGAGAATGAGGAGGAGCAGAAGCGTTTGTGGGCTCGGAGGGGGGGCCTCAGGCTGGGCGTGGCGGCGGAAGGATTGTCCCTCTCGCGATGCTCATCCTGCGGGATTCCACACACCCCCTCCTCCAGCTGCCCCCTTTGAAGACCTCGCAGTGGCGGAAGAGGCAGGCGGAGACGAGAGGAGCGGAGGAGGAGGAGATGAGGAGGAGAGAGGACGTGTTGGACGGTCTGCAAAGCTCAGGGTGTGGAGGAGGAGGAGGAGGAGGAGGAGGACGACGACGACGACGATCACAAAATGTTCGCCAGCGTGGACCCCACACAGTGATGACTGGCACCCTGGGTGGTCAAGCCCTGTGGTGCGAGCTGCGTGGTGCGGGCTGCGCGTGCTGAAGGCAATGCGGTGCACGCTGCGTGTGGTGCAAGCACGCGGCGTAGGCAGTGCGGTGCCGGCAGCGCGGCGCGAGCTGTGCGCGGTGCAGGCCGTGTGGGTCAGGCTGAGCTGCCTGGCCATCGCTCGGACGTCCATTCCCTGTGCTTTTTTCGGTTTCGCGCGTGTTTTTTTCGCCAGATGGTCGAGGATGCTCCTCGAAGGCCCTCGCCGAAGGAAAAATGCACACGTCCGAGCGATGCCACGCTGCGGCAGTGGCCGGGCGGTGGAAGGCTGCGCGGCGTGAGCCGAGCGGCGCGAGCTGTGGAGTGCAGGCTGCGCTGCGCAGGCAGCGCGCGGGGCGCCCACGAGGCGCCCACGAGGCGCCCACCAGGGCGAAGCCTCGGCGGGCCCGGCCGGTCATGTCGAGCGCAGGCATGGTCACCCGATGCGAGGGCTGCTCGTGGAGTCGGAGGCCAGGCGCCAGAACCCGCCACCCTGGTCCCCAGTGCCCGATCCCTCCGAGCGGAGGGTGCAGAGGGACCGCAGGAGGAGGAGAGAGGGGGAGAGTGGGGGAGAGAGGGGGAGAGAGGGGGAGAGAGGAGAGAGGAGAGAGGCAAGTCGGGTGCGCTCGCGCCGCACCCAGCGTCCTACCTCTCCCACCCATCCCTTCCCATCTCGCTGAATCAGTTTCTACCCGCTGGCTGGTATGTCCGACGGGTCACTGATCCACGAATGGCGCTTGCAGGAGTTGGCCGATCGTTTGCCGCACAATCGGCATCGTGGATTTCGCACATTGGATAGGGGGTGGAGGAGGACGGAGGAGGAAGAGGAGGAGCAGGGTCAGAACGAGCATGAGAACAGGAGGACCATGAAGAAACGGGTGGACGGAGGAGCGGACGGTAAGAGAACGGCAATGACGAGGGAGGAATCGGATCCAAAGTGTGACCGAGACTGGAGCGAGAGCACGATTCGCAACGACAGGAGCAAAGCAGCGATCCTAAGACGTGGCCTAACGCTGCGAGGGCACCATTTTGAAGGACTGAAGACGTTCCGATCGAAGAGCCCATGATAATGCACAGGGATCAATATTTAGAACAAAAAATCTGGCGACCCTTCGGCGTGTGTGGGACGCTGTCGCCGTCTTCGTCGTCGTCGTCGCCAGTCCCAAGGTGTAGAAACGAACAGAAAAAAGAAACGTCGAAGTTGAGTGGATTCCCTCCCCCTTTCTTCCCTCCTCTGACGGGGGGACGGGGGAGGTTAGGAGGGGGGTAGGGGAGGGGTAAGTAAGGGGGGCGTCCCGGGTCAGATCGCCCCCCTCAAGGTTCCTGGCGGCCCTCCCTCCCCTCCCCGGTCCCCCCTGTGGACAGGGAGCACAGGAGGGGGTCCCCCATGGAGGGGGGGGGTGGTCCTGGAGGGGAGCACCGGGGAAGGTCCCGCCCCCCCCCCCCCCGGGATCCAGGCGGGCGAGGGCGGGAGCGCCAGCGAGGGTCCCCAGGAGGTCCCACCTTCAGGGTCAGCGGCACAGGCCGCAAGGCCTTCACAGTGGTTCGAAGTCCAGTGTGGAGAATGTGCGGAGGGGGGTAAGCAGTGGGGCGCTGCGAGGGGAGGCAGATGAGTAGTAGTACTCATATTGAGCATCTCTTGCCATCTCTCGGACGCCCTCTCCCAGTGCATTGGTTGATTTCGTGCGCGCTTGTTTGTTCTCAAGGTGGTCCAATATGCTCCAACGTGGTCCAGATCTTCTGACGCTGGCCCCACCGACAAAAAACGCACACGTCTGAGCGAAGATCTGCAAAGAAGAGAAGGGCAATTCGATCTCGCGCGAAACGCGTGCAAGCCTCTGCGGAAGGAAGGGGGAGGATGACTAGGAGGACGAGGAGGAGGACGAGGAGGACGAGGAGGAGGACGAGGAGGACGAGGAGGAGGACGAGGAGGAGGACGAGGAGGACAAGGAGGAGGAGGAGGTGACTAGGAGGACGAGGAGGACCAGGAGGACAAGGAGGAGGACGAGGACGAGGATGGTGACAATACCTGCGAGGAGGAGGAGTGGGAGGAGGGGACCACCTCGACGGCGCCCCCCTCCCAGCGGCTCGTGCTCCTGCTTGCGCAGCTCGGCGGCGGAGTGCGCGAAGGGACAGTAAAAGTCCTCGCAGGAGGAGCCGCCTGCGCTACGCGGCGGCGACGGGACGAGCCTGGTGATTCCCGAGGACCCACCAGCTACACGCAATGAGTGGCACTAGTGGTTGTGGCGCGGCGACTTGAAAACCAACACGCGATGGGGCAGCCGAAGGACGCTGCAGGGCCAAGTTGGGCACAGCAGGAGCGGGAGGGGCGCGGAGCATGCTTAGATCGTGGGGCTCCATGAGTGACACTACACCCCCCTGGAAAATAATACAACCAGTTTAACCATGTCTTGCCCCCCCCCCCCGAACACCCAGACCTCAGTACTGAGTCCGCCGCGGCCGACGGCGAAAAAATCGGATCGCGCGGTGCCCTGCGCGAACATTGAAACTGACGGGAGCGGGGAGACGGACCGCGCGCGAAAGTTGCACTACTTATCCAAGATAATTAATGTAGACAGGAGTGACCTTTGGTGCGCGGCTTCTGGGGGCCAAGGGGGGGGGACAAGATCCAAGCACGCAGGCTAGTGCTGGGGGGCCCTTTGGGCCCGCACCCAAGGTCACTCTGGCGAAGGGTCACCCTTAACCGTAGCCGAACGTAGGCGACTCCAAATGTTGTCTTCGTTACTGGCCCCCGCCCAGGCGCGCGGAGCGCATGCTAGTACTGCTGTGGAAATAACGTTACTTGAATTTTCAGATGGGCATCGCGCGGGACACAAGGGGCAGGATGACGCGCTCACACGCTCGGAATTTGCCGCCGTGGTGACATGCCCATTGCAATCATCTGCATGATGACAGATCGTGATTACTATCATTATCATGATGATGAACACCCCTGGTCCCCCCGAGACTCCCAGCGAAGAGTCACTGCTGTGACGGGACGGGCCTTCGTCCCATCCTGGATAGTAATCCATCTAATACTCTCAAACCAAAAAAGTCCCATCCATAAAAAGCATGGTTCCCAACCCACCTGGCAAATCCTGCCCCGCGGTCACTGAAGTCCTGGGAAAGCGCCAGATCGAGTCGCCATGTTCAAGGATACTCTAATTCTCCTGATGGATTACGAGTTCGCGCAATGCCGAAAACTGAGTGCACGACACGCAACGCGTACAGATCATTGTGGGCCTCGGTACTTTCTTCTTCCTAGGTTTGGCTATGAATGGAAGGGCGCACGCGAAGAACGCATGGATGGGGAAGGAAGCATCACCGGATTCGCTCTGCCAGCTCCCGGACCTGTCCAGGCCCACCATCGCAATGCAAAATTAGGACAACCGCACAGACAGCTGTGAAGTGCCAACCCGGGGGGCACCCCAGCGGCGCTCCAGCGTCCAAGCCTGTTCGAATCACGGGTCACCCAGATGGCTCCCAGGAAGTGAGCCCGCCACGTTTGGGGTTCCAGGGGCCGGTTCCTCTTGTGGCATCGACGAAGCCTCAGGCGAAGCGGGTCCCTTCCTGAGGGGCTCCCAGAGAAGAGCTGAACACAACGCGGCTTCCGGAGGCCTGTGACGCGGCCTCTCTGCCAGGATTCGCCCGTCAGCTGCTGCGTCCTCTGCAGGCAGTGCCGCGGGAAAGTCTGACAATCAGACATGCGAGAGAGCGCATCGAAACGACGAGGGCTCTTCAGACGCCCATGAGGCTACCTGGAAGCGTGCTCTCGTTGTGTGGCTTGGGTTGATGGTAGCTCCCAGGCGCGCAGTGGTGCGCGAGATCTGGAAAAGCATCCTATTGCTCTCGTCAATGGCTGCGCCTCCCCGTCGTTGGACACACAGACGCACACACACACACACACACGCACTATCACACACGGAACGTTTATACTTTACCCCAACGTGCATACATGCAGACATACATACATACATACATACATACATACATACAGACAGACAGACAGACAGACAGACAGGCAGACAGGCAGGCAGGCAGACAGGCAGACAGATACATACGTAACTCACGTACGTACGCACGTACGTGCATACATACATCCATACATAGATACATACATACATACAGACATGCAGACATACAGACCTACATACGGAAATGCATTGATGCATGCATGCATGCATGCATGCATGCATTCATAGATTCAAACATACATGCAGACATACATACTTACACGTATGTATACATGCATGCGTACGCATACCTACATACGCACATATATACGTCTACAAAAAATCACAGGCATGCATGCGTAAACACACCTACATGCATCCACAAACATCTAATATAGTCATGCACACGTATATACATACATGCATGCATGCATACATACATGTACACCCATGCACCTATATATGTACACAAGAATCAGACGCATATGCCTATATATATATACATAAATACGTACAGACATGCATACATACATGCATGTATCCATGCATGCATACACACACACATACACATATACATGCATGCATGCGTACGTACATACAAACAAACAAAAAACTACACAATCATACAAGCATACGAACGTAACAAAAAAACACTCACACCTACATAAACACATGGAGACAGACAGACAGACAGACAGACAGACAGACAGACAGACAGACAGACAGACAGACAGGCAGACAGACAAACGCACACTCACACACAGACAGACGTGCATGCATGCATACATGCAAAACTACTGGCACTGCGTCGGCATGAACATCTGCATCGCTCCCCCCTCCCTGGCCCGCCCGCCCCACCTCGGACAGGGCACCTGGGCTTCGGAGGCACGTCTCCAGGGATGCCCCACGAGGGCACGCGCGCATCGAGGCAGACTGCCCCGCCCAAAGATGGCCGGCACGGCGCCCTCGCGCGGGCCGTCGCCGCGTTGGGAGACGCCCAACGGACTGGCCGGTCGGATCTCACACCGACTTAGGTCAGGCAGGTCCTCCTACAGGCGGAATTGGGGAGAACGATAATATTATATATGCATATATCTAAGAATTTGGTTTTAAACGAAAGAAAAGCATATTATCCTGGCCATTTTTCTATTCCTGCATATTCCTCCTGTAGAGGGACACGCCCGACTTAAACTTAGACCCCCGACGTCATAATTGTTCACACAGTCGACACCCAAAGGTCTCGACCCATTTCCTGGGACAGGTTTCCCATCCCGAGTCGTTCTCTGCCAGTCCCGAGGCCGAGTGAGGGTCCCAAGAAGCAGAAAGTATGGAAAAACCCTCCATTGTGATTTTTTCGTGACTCGAGGGGGTCTGGGGAGCACTGCCTCTTGGTGAGGGCGGGGCTGCGAGGCATCGCCTGTGCACGACAGCTCCGCGTGCCTCGCGGCCCCATCGCAGGTCTCTCTGGGCCCTCAGGCTGCAGCAGCCGTCTGGGCGCAGCGAGGAGAGGGCGAGGTCCAGGGTGCGCTCCTCCAAAGGGCTCTCGGGCTGGCCCCGGGGGTTCCGAGCCATCCCAGAGGCCGGCGGGGCGCAGTGGAAATGCATTTCCAAAACGGTTTCGCACGCCATTCTCGTGGGGGGGGGGACGGCTCTAGCGAGTCGAATCCGCCGACCTTGTCGGCGTGCGGGAGGGAGAGGCCTGAGGTGGTCGTGCTGGGATGGTCCAGGCTCGCCAACCCAAGGCCATCTGTGGCTCTCCAAGCTCGCCAACCCGAGGTGAATTGACCCACGACGTAATCTAGTCGAAAGAGAGCCCCCTCCCTTTGATACCTTCCCCGCCATGAGGAAGGGGGGGTCCCTGGGACGGTCCTGGCGGGGGGGTCCTGGAGAGGGTCCTGGGGGAGGGTCCCAGGGGGTCCTCCTCCTCCTCCTCCTCCTCCTCCTCCTCCTCCTCCTCCTCCTCCTCCTCCTCCTCCTCCTCCTCCTCCTCCTCCACCCACCAAGAAGCCCCACGACACACCCAAGTCGGACGCAAAGGACCCCAGGAGCCCCCCCAAGAAGCCACCCAGGAGCCCCCAGCATATCCCCAAGGTCCCTGGATCACTACCCAAGCGCAGTGGCGGGATGGATCGAAGGCCACTCGATCTTCGCCCTCGCATTGAAGCCACCACTGCCCAGTGCATCCGTTCGGCACCCACCTCTTGCGCCAAATCGGAGCAACTAGACCCGTGCCCACCAGCCCATCTGCCGACGCGCGCGCGCGTGCAATGGTGGCCACACGTGCTCAGACGCCAGGGCAAACACATGCGTGTGGCACTTGCCTGTCTGCGTGCTACGCTCTGTTCAAACCTGCCTCCTCCAAAAGGTGCACCCACGCCTTGGCAAAGGCGCGTCTTGTACACCTCTGGGTGGTAGTTGACCTGAAACAGGACGGCAGCGGACGAGCCATTCGGCCATACATGATTGACAAACGCGACAGCTACGAGCATACTCCCAATGCCACATGCCCATGCAACAGTGACGTCTGATGTATAGCCGACCCATGGAGCGCCCAGTTGTGTTTCCTGAGCTGGGCAAATGCGGAAAAATGCAACGCCGCTGCGATTGCGGCTTTTGGTTCATTCGAGAGCAGAAAGGGAAGGTGATGGGACGCCATAGCATACCCTTTAAATTCATCAATCAGTCGCGTTCGCCTCCTGCCACCTGCACTGCCATCATGGGCTCGCGTGGGCCCCCTTCGAACCGCAACGCATGTCCGTCGCCAGTCGTCTGCTCGAGAGGGCCGAAGGCGGCAGCCGTGGCGGAGGCGGGGATGGCGCTGGGCCTCCAGAGGCTCCGCGTGTCCGAGACCCCCGATGCGGTCATTCGTTCACGGCGTGGACCTGGATGGGACGCGCAGAAAGATATATTTGTTTGGGGGGGGAGGGAGAAGATGGGAGCGGACCGCATGATTCAAGAACCACCGTCGAGACGCGAAAGCCAGTTGCACTTGAAAGCCGGTTTCTTCCTCACCAAGCGTGTGGAAACGGACGCAAGAAACGACAATGCAGATAACACAAGATACGCATTCGCCGGAAAACGTACCTAGTACTAGTACTATCTGTCCTCCTTGGAGGTGCGCGTCCGACCCGCACAAACAGCAGACCCATCTTGAAGTATATCGTTTCCGGAGCGTTGTGGCCAGAAAGCGCCCGCCACGACGCACATGCTACACGATTCCTCGGAGCGCGCGCCGCCCCCCTGTATGCGGTGCGGTGACCACACCGAGGAGGAGGAGGAGGAGGAGAAGGAGGAGGAGGAGGAGGAGGAGGGACGAGGGACGAGGGACGAGGGACGAGGGGGCGACGCGCACATAGTCTGAGTATGCTGGGGTGTCGCCGACCAGAGGTCTCGACCCTTGCCCTAGGACCAGCTCTTCCTCCTGAAATGTGTTTTGGCGGTACCAGGGGGCCCTAAAGGCCAGAAATTGCGATAACATTGCGAGAAATTCTAGGAGTACACAACCCAACCAACAGAAACCCAGGACCTCTCGGGCGGCCCTACTCCCTGGGGAGTCGAAGAAAAACACTGGCATTGAAAAAACATATCGTCAGAGATCTGGGTAGGCAAAGCCCGTCTCGATCTTCGGGGCCAGCGCCGCTTCCGTGCGCTGCCGATCATCCGTTCCCGAAAATTTCTCGTAACGCTATGCACGAACCTGTCGCGACCGAAATACAATCTGGCCTGCACTTGCAAAATCCGAGCCGTCGACGTCTTCGGAATCATCGCTTGGATCCCGACGCACCGTCCGTCCGTTACCAAAACTCGACCCCCTCGGGTCGCGACCGAGATTTGGCGCGACCGACATCCGTTTCCAAAACTCTCTGGTCGCGGACGATCTGTTCCTAACGTCGAACCCCCCAGGGCACGACCCATTCCCCGGAACCGGCATTCCATCTCGAACCCTCTTCTGACGGCCCCAGGGCCCCGCAAGGGCCCCGCAAGGGCCCCGAAGGGCCCAGCAACCCGCTCATGACCCGAAGGGCGTCTGGGGATGACCAGCCTGCGACATCCTCGAACTCGCGCGCCAGCTCCGCGCGCGCGCGCGGCGCAAGCGACGGCCGCGGCCCCGAAGAAAGCGGCCGGGCGCCTCGTCCTCGGAGTGCGCCCACGGGCAGAGCTCGCCCCGGGCGCAGCCTGGGGCCGCGCGGAGCCCCGGGGCGCGCGGGCGCCGTGGCCGAACCCGGGGCGCCCCCCGGCCCCGACCTGCTCCCAGATGTTTTGGCCCGCGGCGGCGGAGTGGTCCTCACCGCGTTCGGAGAGCAGCCGCGGGGTGCGACGGGGCTGGATGGGGCGCGGCGTGGGCAGGGAGAAGAGGACGAGCGCGCGGGGAGGGCGAGAGCACGCTCAGAGAATAGCGGCCCCTGATCCTGGGAGCCGAAGGGCGTGCACAGCAGAGGCATGGAGGTCCTCGGAGGAGTAGAACTCCAGGGAAAGGTACACATGCCGTCAGACATGCAACAGCCTGAGCAAATGAGGACGGGGGTTATCCAGAATGTTCAGCCTTTGAGGGCCCGTACCGGGCCCCGGCACCGTCAAAAAAACATTGCCCGACGAAAACCCCGTCCTGAGGAAGGGTGCGGGACTTCCGGGGACCGCGTGTTTTGAAGAGTCAGGACGTCCAATGTCTAGGCTCGTTGCGTGGGGGCCCTCGCCCGGTCCTGGGACCGTCAAGAAACAGCTCACATGAAACGCCGGTCCCGGGGAAGGGGTCCAGACCTCAAGGGAGCCACGCTGCGAAAAAACACGGCACCGCACTTATAGGTCCTCCCCCCTCTCTCCATTCCCTCCCTCTCCTCAACCCACCTCACCCTCCTCATTCTCTCTGTTCTCCTCCTCCTCCTGCAACTTGAATAAAACGATGGTGATGAGGATGTGATGCTCCTTTATCTGACTGAAAGAGTAAGGGTGCTACACAGGCCGCGACGCGGTCACGCGGACTTAAGTTCTTGAGCCCAACGCCAGCGGTTGCACAGTCATTTGGGTGCCTATATCCAAACATCGACATGATGGTCAAGGTCGGGCCAGTCACGTGCAATCCCGTATGAATGCGCATATCATTAGTGGAAGCTGGTGCTAGCTCGACAGCACAAAATCGGTGATAGAATGAGATTGGTGAATAGCCCAGCAGGAGTAGTCTGAGCATGTACACGGGGCATATTGGGGGCCTTTTTTGTCGTCCTGCCTGGGGGCCTCTTCGGCCGTCCTACGGCGGCCTTGGGCCGTCAAGGTGCCCGTTAGGGTACCTTGGGCCGTCTTGGGGCGGTATTGGAAGCCTCTTGAGCCGTCTTGCGCGTTCGAACACGGAAAAAATGGCGATGGAAAGCACATGGTTTGCGCCTCTTGCAGCTCCTTGGGGTCCTCGGGCCCCTCTCGGAACGTCGAGGGGGCGACTTGGGCCGTCTTGAAGCAATACTGCCCCGTTTTCAGCCCTCTTGGAACACCTCGGAGGGCACTGGAGGATCTGAGGGCCCCTAGAGCTGAGGGAGCGAGCCCGGGGAGCTCCAGGGAGGCCCCACGGAGCTCGAGGCTCGATCTCGTTGGCTGTCTTGGGGACCTTGCGGGCCATCCTGGGGCCCTCTTTGGCAGCCCTGGGCTCCTCTTCGGGTACTCTTTGCTTGTTTGGGGCTATCTGGGAAGCGCCTGGGGATCTGTTGGCCTGTCGGAGGCCCGCGAACGCTAAAACCCTACAAAAACCGTGAAACGAATGTGTGCATCTTCAGGGCCTCTTGGGAGCCTCTTGTGGACTCTTGGTGGTATCATGGGTGCTTCCCTTGGGCATCGTGGGGCCTCTTGGGGCCCTCTTCGGGGCCCCTTAGGGGCCTTCTGGGGGCCTCGTGTGGGCCTCTTGGGGGCCTCTTGGACGCCTGATGGCGGTCTGGGGGGTCCTCTGGGGGCGGGGGGCTCGAAACGTCACTTGGACTTCCCCAGCTTGGACCCGTCCTATGGCCCTCTGGAGGCATGTTTGGGCCGTTCTGGGCGCCTCTTGGACCGTCGAGGGACCCTCTCAGGATGTGGTAGGCCCCTCTTGGGGCTTTCTTGGGCCGTCTTGGGGCGGTCCAAGGGGCCTCTTGGGTCGTCTTAGTCGCTGTGAAGACCCCAGAAGCGAATATACCAAGAATGCACGTTGTCCTGAAAGGATTGGGGCGATGTTTGCGTTTCTTCGAGGCCCTCTTGGGCGCTATTTGGAGCCGTCTTGGCATGTTTTAGAAGCCTTTCGGGATGTTTGAAGCGCCCGTTACGCCGCCAGAGACACCTCGAGACTGTCTTGGGGGGCGACTCGGGGCCCTCGTGAATCGTTTGGGCGGCGGTCTGGTCGCTCTGTCCAGAGGCAGGTCCGGCAGCAGCATCCCCTTTTGCGGTCAAGGTTCCAGCCTCGGACCCACCCAGTCTAGTCCCCCAGTACATGCTAATGCTATGCAACGTGGACCCTAAACAGTTTGTTCTAGCACACTGCGTGTTGCAATATATGTTGTGCAGGCTATGTGGTGCCTCTATGAGGTGCAACATTTGTGGTGCAAGCTACGTGGAGCAAGCTTTGCTGTGCAGTTTTTGTGGTGCGACATATGGGGTGCAACCTGTTTGGTGCAAGATATGTGGTGTGAGCTACGTGTTGTAAGCTGCGTGATGCAATAGATGTGGTGCAACGTATGTGGTGTAGGCTGTGGTGCAATAAATACATATCAAACTAGAGAGAGTCTGGAAAATCCACCATTTGCAGTCGCTTGACAAGTCATTGCATGGTGTGCTGATCCTGGGCATCCTCCTTCTCCTCCTCTCCTCTCCCTCCCTATCCTCATTCTCATCCCCCACCCCCTTTGCCAAGGCACTCCTCCAGTGCAGTCAGGAAGCCCCCTGGAACCAGTAGACGGACTGACAAAGAAAGGAGGAAATTGGACGAAAGCGACGGCGAGGAGAAGGGAGCATGAGCGATCCCCAAGCCCGGAAGGCCCAAACGTACCCCCAATGTGTACCCCCCTCTCCAGGGTACGTCTGTTCTGGGGTACGGCAGGACGTGTCGTGACGACCACGGTTTGGTGTCTGACACCGCGAGGATCCTGTACCTTTGACTGACAGACGGGCGGCTCTTCGATCGCCAGATCGTTCCGTATTGGCTGATTCTGGACCGGCGGCAGCTTTCAACCTTGAACGTCTGCGCTAGGGCCGCCGCCGCGTCGACTCGGCGCGAACCTGCCGCACGCCTGTTCTGGGGGATGTCTGGCCACCCCTGACCATCCGCATCCGCTCAGAAGTGGCCCCCAGACCCCATTGGACCGTCACCCTGCGCCCGTTTCCAAAATTGCGCAGGGCCGCGGCGACGAACAGCACCCCCCAAGGCCAGAAAAAATGATGGTAACGATGACGGCGATCCCCAGGAGGTCCCCCGCGACCTCGCTGGAGACGTGCGCCCCAGGAAGCCGAGCCGTCGTCGCCGTCCGCGTCGCCGGTTTCGTCGCCAGCGAGCCGGACGCCGCCGCCGCCGAACCCGCCGACGTCGCCGTCGCCGTCGCCACCGAGGTCGCCGCCGTCGTCGCCGTCGTCGCCGACGCCGCCGCCGCCGCCGTCGTCGCCACCTTCGTCGCCGCCGTCGTTGCCGCCGCCGCCGTGGGTCGCGCCCTCCCCGCCGGCCTCCGCCGCGGCCCTCGGCCCAGGCAGCGGCGTGGGGGCAGAGCTGGGGCGCGTAGGCGTGCCGCGTGGGGTTCCGCCGCGGCGGCGCGGCGCTGTGGGAGTACTGGCACCTGCTCCTGGGGCGCCGCCGCGCGCTGCCCGTTCCTCGCTCCCCTTCCGCTGGGCCACCCGACTGCGCGCGTCCAGGTCGGCGGCAAGCACGGACCATGGCCGAGACCGGCGTCGGCAGGATCCTGCGACATCTTGGTCAAGGTCCTCCGAATCTTACCCTCGAGCTCCGGTGGGAGACCGCCAGGAATGGGAGAACGAAGCACAGGATCACCCCGCCCCCCGCCTTTCCGGCAGCGGCTGGCGCTGAGGTGAGAGCACCACTCCAGGCCAAGAGATGTGGCCCGAGGCTCCGGCGAGAGCACCGCTTCGCATTGCCGGCGCGGCCAGCGGTGAAGCGAGAGCTTCTGGGACAGGAGGGAGCCCGAGGACCACCCACCGTGTGACCCCTCGAATGGTGGCTGGCGCTGAGGCGCCGGCGTTGCGGCGAAGACACCACTACGAACCAGAAATGTAGCCAGCGCTGCAGCGCGAGCACAACTCGGAATCGGAAATGAGGCATGCGATGCGGAGAAAATACGATTTTCCCCTCTGCGATGGCAAACTGAATCAGCAGCAAACTCTGTCGAACAAAGTGCGGCTCTTTTTCCCGGCAGCGCCGGGTGAAAGATATGCAATCTATGAAAATGCATACTGCTCTTATTTCTTACACAGCTCATGGCTCGCATTCGAAAGGCAAAACACGCACGCGATGAGACTGCTGACGAATATGCCTGAGACAGGCGAGAGTGGCTTGATCGGTATATGCCAAGATGGTTAAAGGGCTTCGTCATAAGAACGAAGAACTAACGCTGACCGTAGAGCGGGGCCCGCTTCCTAACAAATCAGGTGTCGTCAGGCTTTTGTGAGCGTGCGAAGTGTAAAGCGGGGCCCGCGACCCAATATTACTATGAGGGTCGTCGCCGTCAGGGGAGGAAACAGAGCATGTATGAGGAGAGATCAAGTCGCGGCGGCCTACTGGGCCGGGTCAGAAAGGGAACATCAAAGTCGCGTTCCCAGTCGGTCTGCCACACACCGTCCGGGAAGACAGGGTGGCAGGAGCAGAAGGCAAACCTCGGGGAAAAGATGGAGTCCGTCCGTCCCGGTATCTGTCCACAGCGATGCTGTCCTCCGTCGCACCTGTGGTGCCCATGTCGCAGCCATAACAATTGCCCACCATCGCGTGCATTCCCGAACGCACTCTACCGAACACCTCGTTACAGACGCCATCTGCGTCAGTGTTCTGTTTTCGAACGATGTGCTGCACTCTAGCTTCAAGCACGTCATGACGGGCCCAGAGAGCTGTCAACATTGCAAACGCCTGCTCGTATAGCACCCAGGGCGAATGCTCCAAACATTTCCAGTCGAACACTCTGGGTTTGCCGTGCAATCGGAAGCGAGTCGACGTAGAAAGTCCGCCGACCCTGACTGGACGTCGTCCTCGTCGTCGTCGGCGTCGTCGTCGGCGTCGTCGTCGTCCCTCGTTTGCCCCCCTTTCCCCGGGCCCGTCGCCGATCCCCTACCTTTCACTGGGCCTTCCTCGTCGCCGCTCCCCCCCTTTCACTGGGCCCTCCTTCTTAAGCGAGCCAGCCAACGCGAAACCAAGCCGAAATCAACGAACGGCGTGGTTGAGTCGAAGGGAAATCGCTTTCCTTTGATCCCCCCGCGGGAGGAGAGGGGGGGGTCCTGGCGGGGTCCTGGGAGGGGTCCTCTGCGGGGTCTCGGGTCAGAATACCATCCCCCGAGGGGGTCCTGGAGCCCAAACAGGGCCCAACACAGCCCAAGAGGCCCCCAGGACGGTCCAAAAGGGCCCCGAATCGCCGAACGATCGGTCCAAGACGCCAAACTTGGCCTTCTGACGACAGCCCAAGCGGCTTCCAAGACGCTCGAAGGGGCCTCCAAGAGCACACCAAGAGGGCCCTAACAGGCAAAAATCATTGGATTTTGAAAGATTCTGGCGTTCTCACCTTTTCGGCTTCCCGGCGCCCCAAGACGGCCCAAGTTGCCAGCATGATCGGCACAAGAGGCCCCCAAGAGGTCTCCATGACGGCCCTAAAACGACTCAATAGGGCGCCAAGACGGCCCTAGAGGCCTCCCCCTCCCAAACGGCCAAAGAGGCCACAAAAACGGCTCCAAGAAAGTGCCCATAAGGAAGTCCGAACGAACATTTCGAGCCCACTGCCCCGAAAAGCTCCCAGGAGGCCCCAAGAGGCCCCCGAGGCCCCCACGAGGCCCCAAGAGGCCCACAAGAGGCCCCTAAGAAGCCCGAAGGGACCCCTAAGAGGTTCCAAGAGGCCCCTAAGGTGTTCGCAAGAGGCCCCAAAACTGCCCCCCCCCGAGGCCTACGAGCGCGCTCCGAAGAGGCCCCACGTAACATCGCTGAGGACTCTGCCCCACGTCAGCGTCGTCGTCGCCGCCGACGCCGCCGTCGTGATCACCGTCCCCATTCAAGGTCGGCGGCATTGGCCGTAAGGCCTTCCTAATAAGCCGAGGAGCTGGAAATTTGGACGCGTGCCGCAGACACTCCGGGAAACCAACATATTCAGCGCAATTCTTTGTGGTCTCGCTCAGGAAGCGCCCCAGGCAAGCTTCAATGCGTCGAACCCCAGGCTGGTACCGGACACTCCAGCAACTTGATTGCTTGAGAACTCCCGTGCCCTGGTTCTGGGCTGCAACGTCTGACGCATACACTAATTTGTCTGGCGAGAAAAAAACTCGCGGGACCGTAACTGACGACGCTACTGTCGATCAGCATTGACGGGGCTCCCTGTGATCCACGGGTCAGAGCACAGTCTCTTCACATGAAAGATACGATCATCAAACTGAAAGCACGAATTATCGAGCAACCATCGTCTCGACGATAAAACCGCACTGGCAAAAGCAAGGACACACTGCAACACGGAGGCGCTGGGCAGCTCAATTTCTAACCGTTTTCCTTTGCTTCAAAAAATTGCATAAAGCTCGGGGAACTTCGCTTGTATTGATTCCAACACAAAGCAAAAGTCTCCGTGGCTCAAGTCGTGCTCCTCCTCCTCCTGCTCATCGCATCTACGAACACAGACAAGCACTGGGCGTGCGAGAACACGAGCTGACTGGCGTGAGGTAAACTCATCATTGACCAACCTCCGCACACTGGAAATGCGGTGGTCTTCCGGTATGCTCGCAGGCATCCTCCTTAGATTGACTTTCGTGATATTCCAATGTAACCTGCAGGCCTGAAAGCGCATGCAAACCAAAAACTCTGGCTCGGGAGCCTCGGGAGACAGAGAACTGCTCCGCACCTAACTAGCCAGCACTGCCTCTCGGGGCACGACTGGCACGGGGTCGAGGGCAACATTCCAGCCAAGGAACGCGGCCAGCCCACAGGCGACAACACCGCTCTGAGCTGCGAACGCGTGCGGCGCTGAGGGGGTCCCCTCTTGGGCAAGTATGTGGCCTCGAAGAACCCTGGCCCTCCTCCTCGAGATGTCATTGCCAAGACATCCCGTGGTGTTGGGTTCTCATGTTGAATCCGCAGCACCTCGCGTCTCCTCCTCATCCTCCTCCTCCTGCTGTCTCCTCCCTCCTCCCACGCCTGCCTCTACTCTCCACATGCCTCTGCTTCGGCACAACACTCGCACGCTTCGTGACCCCGTAGGGTGTTCCACACAAGGCCCCAGCGGTCACAACTGGCTGTGGTTGGGTCCTTCGCCAGGCTGACATGGATGGAGCTCGAGCGAAAGTACCACACCACGCAAAGAACTTTGGCCAAATGCCAGAAAAGCGCCTCTGAGAGCCCGACAGGCAAGCGCCACTTGATAACAGGATGATTGACAATGGGCAGGAGAGCCCAAAATCGAATCGATAAATAAGATCGGCAATCGAAATGGATCGGATCGGCGGAAACCGGCAGCCGAGTCCGGAAAAGTCGAACCGGCGGAAATGGGCAAGCTAGTAGGCCTCAATTGAGAAATCGGAATCCAAATCGGAATCCCAAATCGAATCGAATCGGAATCGGAATCGATCGAACTCGGATCGAATCGAGTCGGGAGAATCGAAATGAGCCCTATGGCTTCCGCCTTTTCGGGTGGCAATCGCATCCTCGACGGCCTGAGACCCTCCTGGGCGTACCCTAGGAACCTCCATGACGGCTCCAGACAAAGACTGCCCCCAAAGGCTCAGCCAGGATCCCATCGCTGCCAGATATGAGCCTCCAGTGCAGCCAAAGACAGCCTCCAAGGGGTCAAGGAACGCAAGTGGGTGATCGAGACTGGCCCAAGGTGGCCAGAACGAGATCCACGAGAGTCCCAGACGGCCCCAGATTGTATTGCTCATGGGGACCCCGACAGACTGAAATTATCCCAGTGCGACCCTACCTAGGAGTTGGAACCCCTAGGAAAGCAGCATTAGTAGTAACAGTAACGCTAAGCTAAAGCTAAGCTAAAGCTAAGCTAAAGCTAAGCTAAAGCTAAGCTAAAGCTAAGCCACAGCTAAGCTAAAGCTAAGCTAAAGCTAAGCTAAAGCTAAGCTAAAGCTAAGCTAAAGCTAAGCTAAAGCTAAGCTAAAGCTAAGCAAAGCTAAGCTAAAGCTAAGCTAAAGCTAAGCTAAGCTAAAGCTAAGCTAAAGCTAAGCTAAAGCTAAGCTAAAGCTAAGCTAAAGCTAAGCTAAAGCTAAGCTAAAGCTAAGCTAAAGCTAAGCTAAAGCTAAGCTAAAGCTAAGCTAAAGCTAAGCTAGCAGCTAAGCTAAAGCTAAGCTAAAGCTAAGCTAAAGCTAAAGCTAAAGCTCCCGGGACTGGGCGGAACCGCTCCCAGGGGACTGGGGGAACCGCCCGGGGCGCTTTCCACTGCCTGGCCCCTTTAAGCTAGAGAGTAAGAACCCTTCTAGGCAGAGCCTAGGTAGGGAACAATTTTACATTTGGGATTTGATGGTTTGCGACTATCGCCCTTTTTTACGCAGCTTATGACCCCGACTGCCTCAGACGCCCCGAAGGAGGACCCCCAGAGCCTCCGAGACGGCCCCGTACGACCCCGATGACCTTGGAGATTGTGCTGGACGGCCCACCATGGCCTCCGCAGTGGCCCAATGTATGCGCCTCTGATACGCCGCAAAAAGAGCTGCAAAACGCTCAATACTGTAAAAATCGTGTCGAAACACCCCAGGCGGCACCACGCGAATCAAAATAGCCGTGAAGATTTCCGAAATGGCCCCCGATGGTCCACAGTGGTTTCAATCAGTTCCCCAAATGACCCAGAATTTCCTCCGACATGGTTCAACACGGCTTGACATATTTCAGCTCCCTCTCACATGTCACAGGACCACGAGAACTAAAAGGAGCAAACTAAACATCTACAACGATCGTGGCCAGGCCCATCCTGGACCAAAAATGAGGGCATATACACCGGAGCAGATTGCCAAATGGTCGACTGCACGGGCAGGGCAGGGGGGAGGGAACTCGCCGCAGGCGTCGCCGATGCAGACTTCACCTCGCAAGCATGTATACCTACGCGATGGAGGCAGGAAGAGCGAGGTCCTGTAAATGCAGGTGCCATCTGCCAGGAGACGTTCGCAGGTCTTAGTACGGAACCTGGCAAGACCTCCACTCCACGCCAAGACCCAAGACTTCAGCACGCGATCATGGGACCTTCAGGCTACATTCAGAAAGAAACAATGATGATATGACTCCAAACTGCTATCTTACTCCAAAGCGATAAACGACATCGTGCAGAAACACACATGCTTGAAATTCCAAAAGCTCACGCTGATACCGCTGCAAAAGAGCAAACCAACGACTGATGCCGCGACCAACGGCAAGGGGCAGTGATATCACCAGAGCGGCAGAGGTGATGCGCGGCAGGGTACTTCGCCTGCCCATTGTACCCGGAGCTACCCGCCTCTCTGCCAGAATTCAGGCTCAGTCGGCATCAAATCGGAAAGCCCGACCAGATCGTAACGCGCGTCGATCGGGCTGCATTGACACGGAATCGAAATCGGATCGGATCGGCTGCGCCAGGATGCACAACAGCGCCATGCAAGCGTCGGGCCCCATCGGACCGGCGAAACATCGGAACCGAATTGGATCGGGGTGGGCGAAGAGAATGTCGAATCGGATCGATCGAATCGAAACTGGCTCTGGAGCGCGGCAAAGGCGGTGTTTCCCTCTTGTCGTGACGTGGCAACTCATGGAAGCCTCCCACGCCAAAACTGCTGGCTCTTGCGAATCGAAACTAACCGGTGCAAATCGACGCTGATCAACGCTAAATCGACGCTAAATCGCAACTGTCTCATCGATTACAAGACGCTAGCGCACGCCCATGCACTGTAGAGATGGAGGTACAAGGACATATGAGGCTCCCATGCTCTGCTACCGAATAATTGGTCTCTTGAAAAGGGTGCGACCGCGGGCAGGCCTATTTTGGGTGGTCCGTGTTTGCTTGCACTCCTCTGATCCCAGAAGAAGACCGCTCGGGAACAGGCTGGCGTGAGGTGGAATGGGATGTGATGGTATATGATGAAGCGGGACGAGATGCTCGCAATGGCATGGCCTGGCAAACGTGAAGAAGGAAGCGTGACCCCGACTACGGTCAGGAACTTCTGCACAGCGTGTCGCTGCGGGGGCCCAGCGACGCGCTATGCCAAGCGCGCGGACAGCGTGGGAGGCAGGGAAAGGCCCGGGACGTTGACGCCTGGGGACCAGGAAGTGCATAGCGTGTCGCGCCAAACCGCGGTGGGCCAGAACCAGCGGCGCGACGCGCCAAGCCGAAGTCCCCGACCGCAGGCTCGGGGGCCGGTCCCCCCAGGACATCCCCTGAGCAAGCGGCGGCGGGGCACGGCACGCGGCTCCCTCCCCTGGGGCCCCGTCCTTTGTCGGACAGCACGGAGGGCTGCGCCATGTCCGCGGGGAGAGGGAGCTGCGGAACTGGCGGTGCACCTCGGGTGTGGGCTCGGGTGCAGCGGCACGCCAGGCGCGGCAACCACGCTGCGGGGCCCAAAAGCGTACACCACCACCACCTCCCTCACACCCTCCCTCCCCCTGAAAGAGGGAGGAAAAGGAGGGTAGAGTTATGTTGCTACCATCGTACTTAAGGACCACATCCCAGAAATGACTTCGAGCACCCAGAAAAGTATCGAAACAGTGTCGAACGAGTATCGCCTCCCAGGGCCCGACGCGTGAAAGCCCTCCAGTTTCGGTACTTTCTTGGTGCTCGAAACTCTTTCTGGTGATCATTGCTAAAGCCCGTTGGAATATCAGAAGGGTAGAGGAGGGAGGAGGAATGGAGGTGGTGGTGGTGGTGATGTATGCATTCTTGGGGCCCTCACACGGGGCCGCTGCCCCCGCAGGGGCCGAGCGCGAAGTGACGGACGAGGAACGGCGCGAGATCCACGCTTCCAGCATCGGGGGCGCCTGTGTCCCAGGGCGGCTGGGAAGCTTCTGCGACGGGTTCGTGCGGCGACGACCCGGGCGCTGTTCTCTGACACCGCGCGGATCCAGGCCTCGGAAAAAATTCGCGAACGCTCGTGCCGCATTCATCTGTCAATGCCCCCCAATGATCAACGTTGGCGGTGGGTTGAATGAGCTACACTTCGACCGCAGTCTTCCCCGAGCATGCCAACTTTGAGTTTGGGGGAGCGGGGGAGTGTCGACTAACTGTTTCCTTCTACCGTCGTTCAACCTGAAGCGATCGTGGCCTCAAGATAGCATAGGTCGTTCGATACCGGCTGGCTCTGGGCCACCAGCGACGTTTAACCTTGAACGCGCTCGTGCAGGGGTCGCCGCCGCTCGGCGGCGAGCCCAGGGGGAAAAGTGAAAAGAGGCGGCCTTCTCAGAAGGCTCGGAATTCCCCCGGTTGTGTCCAAGAATGGACATTGCGTCGAGGCAAACGTTTGCGGTCAAACGTTCGCGAGTAGGCACTTTGCGAGTAGTGGAACGCGCTGTCCAAGCCTCCCCCGAAGACACCGAAAACATTTCTGAGGAGGCCGGGGGACCTTCTGAGAAGCCCCGCCGCCCTCCGAGAAGGCCCTCTCCCTCGCACTCCCCCCCCTCGGGCGCGCCGCCGATCCGCCTGGCACGCCCATGCAGGGGTCGCCGCCGCGTCGGCACGGCACGAACCTGACAGGGGGACACGCCGACCCCCTTCTCCCAGGCTGCGTGGCGCTGTCGAAGGGACCAAAAACTTGGGGCCCGAATCCTGGGACATACGAGGGGGCGGGCGCCCATCCTCGCTGGCGGTGCGTCCGAACAGCCCCCCCTTGGGGTGTATCCCACGGCTGCCATCCTTTGCTGAATCGCCTGCGCGAACCCGCCGTGCCCTCACGGCGGAACGCCAAGGCAGGAGCTTCCCAGCGAGCCCCCAGACAGGCGCCCCCCGAGGGCGGCAGAGCTCGTGCTGTGCCGTTCCTGGACCGCCCGGCGGGGAAGAGCGAGCTCTTCCGAGCAAGCGCTCGCTGGACGATGTGCGTGCGAGGCGGCCCGCAGGATTGCGGCTCCCTTGGGAGGGGGGACTCGGCAAATGTGCACGGCAAGGATGCAAGCTTTTTGGCCGCCCATGCCGGAGCTTGTCGAAGGGGGCTGGCCGTCGATAGTGGTTGAGGATGGACCGAAGAGGCAAGGATGCCACGGCACCCTCGGGAGGGTTGCCAATCCTCAGTGTGGGTTTCGACTGTACAGCCACGGCGGACGGGGAACGGGAGAGAGTGCAGGCCTAGGACGCGGATCAAGTGGGCTGGAAGCCAAGACCCCGCGGAAGCCTTGCCCACACAGAAAATGGGGCCCTGGAAGAACTCTGGCCGTGATTGGCCGCTGTGGTCTACCGTGTTACCCAGTTACAACGAGACGTACGCACTTACCGAAAGCTCTGCACGGGAAATGTGTGCGGCTCGCTCGTTGTTCCAAGCTCGAAGACGACCTCTGCAAATTGAGCCAACAACCGACAGGAGGTCGCAGGCTCACGACGCAAATGCGCTCGGACATGTTGCCGACGATTGTGCTAGAGCAAGCTGCGAAACACACCCCAAAGCGACGATTCGTTACAACATGATATGCCACGCATCTGCTCCCGCCATCGTGCCCACGGACCTGCAATCCCGACACTGCAACTACGAGCGAGGCCAGGCTGGAGCGCCTCGATTAAGGCGGCGGACAGAAGCGCGTGCCGATGCGCCGCTGCGCAGGCGGGCACTACAAATTCTGAAGCAGAATGGTTGGGCCGAATCATAAAATAAAAAAGGGCGAGCGATAGAGAGAGAGAGACAAAGAAAGACAGGCAGAAAGAGAGAGAGAGAGAGACAGGCTGAGGAGAAAGAGAGAGCGAGAGACAGACAGACAGACAGACAGAAGGGCAAACAGACAGCCAGAAAGAAAAAGAGTGTGATGTGCTAGGTACAAGGAGATAAACTCAGAGAAAGGGGAAAAGATATAGAAAGAGAAAACCAAAACACGGCTCGCGAACTCGAATAAAAAATGGGCGGCGCGAAGAAGCAATACAAAAATTGCAAACCGAATGCGAACAATGAATAACGAATGTGACGAGCGGCGGCCCCCATCAAGGCGGGAGACGACCGGTTGGCCGAGGCCACCGCGGCGGCGACGACGACGGAGACAGCGGCGGCGAAGGCGGTGGCAACGACGACAACGGCAGCGATGGTGGCTGCCAACGACCGTGGCGACGACGACAACGACGACGACGACGACGACGACGAAAGTACCGACGACGACGACGACGACGACGACGACGACGACGACGACGACGACGACGACGACGGCTGAAGCGGCGGCGGAATGGGCGACGAAGGCGAAGACAGCGGCGTCAACGGCGACGACGACGACGACGACGACGACGACGACGACGACGACGACGACGACGACGACGACGACGATGACGACGACGGCGGCGCCGGCGCCGGCGCCGGCGAAGTCGGCGACGAAAGCGGCGACGACGGCGGCGACAGCGGCGAAAAGACACGTTTGCCGACGTTGGCGCAATAAAAATCCAGATCCATAAGCTTGGGGCCCGTAGCAGTCGAGAACCCCCCTCCGGGATGGCGGCGGCGCAGAGAGCCCCGGACAGAAGGGGGGTGGTCAGCCCCGTCCGTGGGTGAGAAAGCGCGTGGGGTGACTGGTTGCTCTTCTTTTGCCATTCCCTGGTAGTGTGCAGAACCCGCGTGGTGGAGGGCAGGACCCCTACGAGTTCCCCAAAGCCCTGCCCCACCGATCCGCGATTTTCGCAATCAGCTGCGGGGTCGGGGCCACCACGAGCCGCCAGGCCCCCAAGATCCCCCCGGAAGCCTCCACGAAGCCCCACAAGGCACTAGCTCAAGAGGTTTCGACTGGCTCCCAAAAATCCTGTGGCCCACGGAGGCACCCAAAATTGCCCGCATGATGCCACGCTCCCCCTATAAGGGAAGCTCCCCCGGGCATCGATCCTGGACGGGCTGGCGGGAAGACTTTTGTTCGCGAGCGTAAGCGGGAGAGCCGCGCGCCGTCAGGAAACGGCTGGCGGGGATACTTCTTGTTCGCAACCGCTAGCGGACAGCCGCGCTGCGTCAACAGTCGAGTGAAGCCAGGCCCACGTTGAGCAGGGCGAGTGCCTAAACAACAGCTGGCAAGCGTGGAAAAGAGGCGGGGCAGGTGGAAAAGGGCGGGCGGCGGACGGGCAACGAAGAAGAACGGGCGACTAACGCGGCACAGCTCAGAAGCCTACGACCACGCCCAAGCACAGTGAACCCGTCATCCTCGGAGTACGTGCACAGCAACGCGAGACCGCATGAGGCCTGCGAGGTCGGCGTCGATCAGATACCGCGAGCCAATCGGCGTAAGCCCACCGCGTGGACGCGCGTGGAACGGGCCCTCCCATGACCCTGCACCCCAATATCCCATCCGCCAGAACGAGTCGTCGAAGGAGCCATGGCCAGTGAAGGGGGCACGCAGGCCCCTGTCGCGAGAGCCGACCGAGGAATTCCGAAAGCTGCCAATCCAGCCCGTCCAGTAAGACCGCCGCGGGACAGCTGACGTAGCACGAAGGACCCATAGGCCCGCGCGCCCTGGGAGGGCACGGAGGGCCTGGGGCGCGCTGTAGATGGGGGGCGGCGAACAGCCGCAGAACATGAGGTAATACCGTGAGTGGGGTCGCAGCTAACAGCCGCGGGGAATGGGCGCAATATTGCGAGTGGGGTCGCAGCTAACTGCCGCGGAGAAATTGTGTTAGGGGCGGACCGTGAGCCTCCAGCAAGGGGAATGCCGCGAGGGGCAACGGGACAGTCGAACTGGGGTGACTATTGTCAGCATGCCCCGACGCCCCGGGGGGAGCGTCGGCACGTCGTCGAGACAGTCGCGCGTCGGTTGGCGCCCCTGGAGGACGCGGTGAGGGCAGCCATACTGCAGAGGGGGGGCGGCTAACAGCCGCGTAGATAATGAGAAGACGATCGCGCCTGGGCGTCAATGCGGGGAGCCGTAGAGGGGGCGGGGGTGCTCGATGGGACCGCTGCGCGCAGGCCCCAGCACCCCGGGGGGGGCACCAAGGGCGCGGGCAGAGCGCGAGTGGCGCCTGCGGCTAGCACCCACGGGTAGTGGAGACGCGGCGGAGGGTGCCTCCGAGGAGGGGCGACAAGGAAGGCGCGAGAGGCAAAGGGGGGCGGCTAACAGCCGCAATGAATGTGTAAAGAGTGCGAGGCAGCCGGGCGGGAACGGCATGGGCCAGGCCGCCAGGCGGGATGGCCATGGCCATCCCGCTTGGCGGCTGGCCCGCCCGCAATGAGGGCCTGGCGCCAGTATGCGGGGCAGCACACGGCTGCAAAGGGGGCGCCGCAGGGGCTCTAGCAGTAACCGGGGCCCACGGAAGGGTCCAATTCCCGAGCCGCCTACGGCGGCAATCATCCAGGGGGAGAGAGGCCGCAA